AAGTGCTTGGCTGATACATTCATGAATCCTTGTACAAGTTACTTAAATAATGTCATTCTTTCTAATGTTGTTTAAATGCAGGGATTTAAAAAAACAAAAAACAAAATAGTACCTAAAACTCTTTAGGACAGACCAAGAATGTGTGTAGTGATCAGTGCTGTGTTTACATGGATGGCTTTGCTACACTGTTTTAGCACAAGTTTCATCTTAGTTTAATCTCTAATCCACATGATAAAATAGCAAATATCCCTCCATTAATTATAAAGAGTTACTACAGTGCCACAGAGCTGGCTCTGTTTACTCCCATTTACTGGACTGTGTCAACATCGTGGTGAAATGATAAGGACAAAGCATGGGAGGAGCAGGTGTGGTTTACTGTTTCTCCTGTTAGAGAAGAATAACTGAAAACACGACAAACAGTAGTAAAAGGTGGATGGTGGAAGAATCTAATAATAATCTCAGCTACATCACTCACTTGTTCTGAGAAATACTTTTTCGTAAAATGTGTGTCTTCTATGTCAGTGGTTGGACTCTGTATTCCCAGGGTGAGATCGTTTTTTGTTTTTGTTTTTTTCTTTCATCATACAGATTTCCAGAAGTCTTTGAAACATTCTCAGCTGGACAGAGCATCTACAAACCAACTCTGCCCCTGAAATCCAACTAACTCTAGGATAGCACATCAATACAGCTCTGCCTGCAGCAGCAGCACTCACATGGTGATAACTGAGAGCAAGAGACAGTGACTCAGACAGAAAGAGTCAGAGAGATTAAAATACAGATTAAAAAAGGAAATGAGCTTGGGAGAATGGACATTTGATCGCTCCGTTCTGAGCTAAAGATAAATGACTTTTGAGAATAGACATAGGTCTGTCTGTCTGTTCTGTCTGGTTTGTGAAGGTAAATGGATTAAAAGTCCAACACCATCATGCAGTTGGAGTAAGAATACACACTCCTCAAACTCCTCTAAATACACTTCTGTACTTTCTGTGCTCTTTGATATTTCTCATGTAGCGATGCTCGTGCTAGATGAGGCACCGATGATTGATGTTATGGAGACCAACACTTTAGAGCTTAGGGAATAGCCGTTTGGGGAAAAATACAAATTTGTACAGAAACTACAAACACCAACCAGACAGGCAAACCTGACATAAGGCTAAATTCAGAACACGATAACCAACCTAACGACTTCTGCGATAAAAGCTATTAAATAACACACATCATAAAAATGCATCTTACAGCCACGTTCAGAATTGTGTAAAATGCTTGTCCTTTCACTGCAAGCCAACATAAATGATGCTCTGACCCGTGCTGTATTGACAATCTGAGACAATGATACCCACTGTATCTGCAGCCGAGCTTTTTCAGGCAGCACTTGATAAGCGGAGAGGCTGCACCGTGGTGCGGCTGAACACAATGTTGCCCTTACATGAAATGATGGCATAAAGGGCCATAAAGAAAATGACTAAAAAAGATGAGCAGGCCAGTGGAGTCGAAGAGAGGGAATACGTATTAAAGATTTAAATTATGGAGTGGAGCCCTTAGAGGAAGAGGACGAGGAGGAGAAAAAAAAGGAGCAGCACAACTAGTCACTTCCATTAGCCTAACGCTCTGGAGACATTCTCACAAGGTTGAAATGTGATCAGTGCTCAGTGTTGCATTGCCTGAGCCTGGAGTTTTAAATGTGACATTGCTCACCAGCACCATAATCTGGCAAATGCATCACAGTTTTGCACAAAAAGGAAATGGCAAAAATAATACATCTTTGCATCAAACAGTAGCAAAGAAATATTTATTAGTTAATAGTAGTGTGAATTAGGAAGATTGTCTGGATATATAATATGTATCACAATTGCGTGATAGTGTGATACTATAGGCATGACAATATATTGAGATTTTTTTAAACAATTTATTTGTAGGAACCGTCAGCACAGTAAACACACAATGCTGTTAAACGCTTAACATCAGGTTAGTAAAACTGGAACAGGGGGATCTACATGTGTTATTGCTAGAGAAGAAATAAAAGCAAAATGAAATGAACCAACACCATGTACATTTGTATGTTACTAGTTAATTAAAAAAAATACAGTGGTACAGTGTTGTAGAATATTGAAATGATGTAATGAAATATGGTGATATTTCATTACATCAATATTTTCTCACCTCCCTCACTTCATTTCTTTCAGGTTTTGGCATGAAGATTAACAACTGACCTTTTAATCAATTTGAATATTATTTATTAAAGGCCAGGAGCAACTTTGTGCTTTTCAGGGCTGTCAAAAGTGTTGCTGTTACACTGTTGCTGTCTGTGTGCTATAAAGTTTGTTTCACTAAAGCGCCTCAAGCTTAAAATACCATTTAGTGTTTTGTTCTATTTGCGTAATAATACGCTGATTGCAGCACATTTAGTGAGTGCACCACTCGTTTGCTTAGGCTTCGACTGTGCTTTGGTATGCATGTTTTGAGAATCTCTTTACGTACACCCACACTACAAGAGCTGTGACCGTGATTAATCAGTTTTATGGCTAAATTTATAGTAAGATTTACATGTGTTTTCTTTCCTGAGTAGAAAACGATAGACACACATTTCAACAACTACAACGTGTGTGCAAGTTATGAAATAAGAGAGTGCATGTACTTCGAAGCCAATGGACAAGATATTTATTTCATCAAGCTTATACAGCTATGAATAGCATTAACTGAAATGCCACATTATTCTCCCATAATGTACAAGTCATTCTTAATTTCATATTAAAATAATGTCACTTGTAAATAGGTTGCAGTAAGGTAATTGTAAAGGTTATTGTCATGGTTAATCAGTAGTGAATCGCTGCAGTCTTAGAGATCTTGCAAATCCTAACATAGATAATTATACATGTGTGAATCATCAGAAAAGAGAAATTAAAATTTAATGCAGAGTGTAATTATAAACCAAGTTTTTTTTTATTATACTGCTCTGTTCTCCTTAAATACTGTATTCTGCTATTTACCTTTCAAATGTTAAATCATTGCTATAATTTGCCACCAGCATGCAGTAGCCTTAATAAAAATATGTGGTAAAAATGTATTATTACACCAGAGAAAACAACTAAGTGCAGAAGGAGGCAAGCCTGAACTGGAGGAATCCTGTAGTGCAATCAAGGCAAGCGACACAGAAGGTAGTTACCAATGTAATCAGGTTCATGTATGTGTGGGCATGCATTGTGTGAGAGAAGTACACAGATCAGACAGACCAGATTAAAACAAGTTTAGCCATAAAGTAAAAAAAGCCACACCCTGTTTGTAGCAGTTTCGCCGTTTCTGCTGGCAGCACATAGTCAATCCAGCAGGCAGAGGGTAATGTGGTTGAGGAAGCTTTTCAAGTAGATGCACCACAAATGACCGATTGTAAGAACATTTATAAATAGTCAAGGTCTGCCCTAATGCCCCACCTACTTATTAACAGTAAAGTAGCCAAGAATCTTAGATATGTCACCAACTACAGGTCAAACAAAACCATGTCTTTGTCAGAAAATATAAGCGAGAGGAGGAGCAGGGTGCATTTGTCTGTGAGTAGTATGAACTGCTTAGCCATACGTACAGTTTAGCAGATGCAGGTGTTATGATGGGCCTTGTCCACCTTTCATGGTAAATTTCCTTCTGCATTTTCTTAAAACAAAATGTCTTCAAAGGTTTTCATGTGAGGTGTCTCAAAAACTCAGTGTATAAATTAAACATAGTTACTGACGCCTTGTTAAGACATGCCAATAACATCCACAATGTGTGATCTTATCACATATTGACAGTGTCAAACATGACTGACTGACTTGCATCAGAATGCTTCCTCAAAGTATCTGATGTGACACATAAGATCAAATCTGTTCATTATGACACAATGTTATTTTAACTGACTTTATACATTGTCAATGCATTTCTGTGAAACAGATGTGTGTGGGGATATCAGTTAGGGGCTGCTTGCTAATGAAAAATTTGATCAAATGTTGCAATGTTTTGTTTTTTAAAATTTGATCAAATGTTGCAATGTTTTTGTTTTTTTTTAGTTTTAAAATAAATTTTAAATAAACTAATCACATCCTGTTCTGTTTGAATACACCACAACTACTACCTAACACAAACATGTAATTAGACTTTAACAATTGTCAGGAGGTATGTATTGATGCATTAACAACAGGAACAACAGGAAGTACAAAGAGTAATATAAACAACATGTTTAACAAACCACAACAAAACTAAGTTTCAGTCTCTGACACTAGCTCTCATTAAAGTTTTTCATTATAACGTATCATTTACTATTGCACATTTGACATCGTGCTGCTGTTCAGTACACCCTAGTACTCTGCTTGAGTCACTCTTACCTGAATTTCCCAACTGTTTGTAAAATCTATACTCCAAATGAAGCTGAGGCGCCCTGGACTTTATAGGTTCCTGAAAGACAAACAGAAAAATATACATCAACGAACATTATACAAATTATTTCTGAGTTATATGCACTTGTTGTTGCATCAGACATTGGAATTTGTCACAACATTACTTTAAATAATAAGTAATTATGTGTAACTATTATTATAATTATGTATGAATCAGGACTGCTTGGCCTGTAATTTGCAGAATATCTAAAGCACACTGATTGGAAATTTTAAATATAACTTTAATTAGGGTTTCATGTTTGAGATGTGAGATGATAAAGGGAATTTGCAGCGATTAGTGATGACATAGCAGATGATCTAAATTGCTGGAACTCTGTCTTTATTATATTGCTGGCTTCAGCTTTACAACCTAAAATGTAATCTGTTTAACCTCACTCTCATGATGAAATGAGAAATATAAAGAAATATGGAGAGGATAAAGCAAACACACACTTCATTGATTTGCTTTATCTTCAACAGCTAGTTTGTAGCTTGTGGTAAAAGCCCTCACACACAATGATAGTACTGTCCTTCACTGTTCCAGTTCTTTGCCACTTTTCAAGATGTACATAAGTCGTAATGGTTTTTTTATTATTACAAATTGAGATATAAATACGACATAGAAATTAGATGTTGTGGAAATTTCCTAACTTCCACCACACAGTGAAAGGCAGTTTCACAAATTGCTCTATTAATGTTTTCATTACATATAAAGCACAACAAAAGCAGGCAGTTCAGCATTTTCAAAAGTAAACATTCAGGATTTGTGTTCATATTATAATGCTGAATTCCTGAACCAGAAATGTCATAAAATATTGATAATTGCACTGCAATATGTGTGAGCAATGTGTGTACCAAAACCTTCTGAAGTGGTATAAATTAGATGTGCTAAGAAGGAGGTGTTATCAGATTGATAATCTGAAATGCCATCTCCAATCTGAAATGTCATCAGCATAACCACATGATCCACAAATTTGGTGGATGGTTTATAAGACAGTAGTGAGATCTGCTATGATGTGTGGTTTAGACACAATGGCTTTGTCTAATAGAAAAATTTAATGAAAATATGATTTTCACTAAAAGTGGCCAATATCGACAGGATCATAAATAAAGAGAGATTGGACACATGTTGAGGAGATATACTGGATGAAGCATGTTGGAGATTAAATCAGAAAACAGTTATTAATTGTATGCGGGGTTAGAAACCTCCTCCGTGTATTGAGCCTGCTCCACTACATACCAAGACATAGAAACACCTACAACTTCATTCAGCTGAGCAACTTCTCAAGAGGTGATTGAAGTGAGATTTAATCTAAAAAGCAGTTTACCATGTGCATCTAATTCCAAAGCACTTCTACTGCTTTTTAAATTACGTAAACCTAGAGCCGAAAGGCTGTTAAGCTCCCACATTTAGTCCATTAGGTCTTTATTAAATCAGGATCACTTTCTCTCCCGGTGCCCTGCTGGAATGTAGGCGAACACACAGAGGATGAGCCACATTCAACAGAAAAACAAAGAAAAAGTGTGTACTTGTTCCTCTCTTTTTAGTAAATCAACCCAATCTGAAAAAGTAATGTTTTAGTTAGACTGGCAGTGGTAATTTTGAGGTTTATAAAGATGTGGTCAGTCTGATCAATTTCAAAACTAAGCTCAAACATTGTTTACTACAATGTATATATAAAATAAAACTATAAAGATTCAAAGGATACGTTCTCTTCAAATAATGTCAGACAATCCAAACCTCCCTGACATAGTAATTTTAATGGGATAAAACAAGTACTTTCGCAACTCAAATAGATACAATTTTAAGAAATGCAAAGAAAACTATTCCAGAATCATACTCCAAAATGATGGCAACAAGAGAAGTAAGTGGCTGCTGCATGTAGTGGGAGGCAGAACTTGAGCAGAAGAGAGGCAGGAAAGAAAAGATGAAGTCTGTAGGAGGAAGACATGTGACTGATCTGAGAGGTGGAGTGGGAAACTAATGTAGCGTCATCCAACCCCCACACGAAATTGGACAATGAACTATTTCACACAAGTCAGGCCAAGGCAGGAAAAAGAGGGGAAGACAATTCAAATTATATTGTTTAAATAATGATTCAAAGCAGATGGCACTGACCTGCAGGAACTTTTAAAACAGCTTACAATAAGAGACAGAGGCTTATGGCAGATTTATGTTCTTAACACTCCGCTGTATTCCCAGCAGATGGGCTAAGCTGTGGCTGTGTAAATGAACAGGGATATGCTATAAATGTATGACACAACATCTTTGTGTATAGCCAATTCATGTATCAGATATGTTTGATCTACCACAGATTGGTAGGTATGTTCATTATGAGATCCTTCCCCTGTTACTACATTGCTGCATTTACAAAAGTACTATCCAAGGAAATTTTTTGTTCTTATATTTCTACTACAACAAAACAGGTGGCAGTTTTACCCTGACTTAAATACACAAATAATTTTTTTTTTCCCGTAAATAACTGTGATTACCTGAGGCTGCGTTTACGAAGCAGTGTAAGCAAGCAAATTACCAAAGTCAAGTGGAAGGAAGTTGCAGTAATCCTATGTGGAACCAGAATTGGTCTAATGTCCAGGACAGCTGACCCACAGCCTAGAAGGGCCCTCTCCTGTCTGACCTGCTGCTACAGGAACCTCTCCACCTCAGCTGTTCACACTGCAGCTGTCTGTGTGTAATGATTCTGCATATCTGACACCAGACTTTTTAGGCACAATACACACAAAATATGTACATTGTCTGAATAAGTTCTATAAAGTAATGAATATTAATATTGTATGCAGCATAGTCATATTTGAAGAAAGAAGAGAAAGAAACATTCAAAGTGCAATTTTAACTGTGGTCCACAGTGTACCATTAGCATTACAGTGCATTACCAAGAAAACTCTACATCTCTACAGTCATTCCTAGAGTTATGAAAAACTCACCTTTAAGTGAGACCTCTTTCATATAATGACATAAAGAAAGGCTAAGACAGATGAACAATGGATGAGAACTACTTAAATATATTGTTCTCAACATGACTCAGTTAAGACACATATAGAGCTCTGCTGTTGACGGTTGGTGTATGGAAGCATTACTTACTTTAATATTAGATCTAATCCTATCACAGCGGAGTGTTTGAGATAAAATGCTATATGCCATTTCAGGGATCTAGCTAAGAGCAAAAACACATGAATACTGTACAAATGTGTGATTATGTCATCATGGATTAGCTAGTGGTTTTTGTATTTTTAACCCCTTACTGCCTCAGTAGACCTGTGGGGATGGAGCAAATCATCCGCAGCACATAGAGTCCTCTTCCTAGGATTAACCCACTACGCATATGTCATCGGGTCTGAATCAAACAAATGGGGAAAATGGGAAGCAATTTTGACGAGAGAGAAAAAAAACAAAACGATAATACTGTGATGATACCAGAAGTATGAAGAGAGAAAAAAAACAAAACGATAATACTATGATGATACCAGAAGTATGAAAAAACAAAACAGAAAGCAACCATTGTCACTGACACAAACAAACAGAAAAAAAGCCTAAACCATATCATGTGAATATGCCAATTTGAAAATTGATCAGATTATAACTAAATCTAGAAAGAATTCTACTCAGACTAACTAGATTGTCGACTGCCATTCAGTTTTAACAGTGGCAACCTGACCAAAGTAAATGAAGAAGAGAAGAAAACATATTTCAAGATGTTAGTAAAAGCATCCACTTCTTCTAGCCAGATTACTGGAATACTGTGTTACACAATGCTGTATTATAAAAGAAGTCAGCTTGAATTATGTAATACAAAACATAAATATTGCTGTCTTTCAAGAGCCAGTGTGATGATCAGTGTTTGCACAAGTATGATTTTATGTGCCACGTCCAAGGCAACAGACCTAGCATTATGCACAGGAACCAGAATAGATCCTGACCTTTGCCTGACTCCCTATAAAACATTTCACAAAATGCAACTGGCTCTGTGACTCATCTCGTATCAGACAGATCCACTCAAATGTCAACATAGCGGATCTCCATTTGGTAGTCTTCATGGGGTATTAATGACAACGACTCTGGGGCTGAAACAAATGGTGGAGCTTAGAAAGGGGTTGGGATATGTGTGTTTCTCTCTTAGAAGTGTGCTGATGATCAGAGGTTGCTCCAGCCGTAGTGGTAACAGAGTGACTGGTGTCAGAGAGCAACAGCTGGCCTGTGTCCAGCACTTCTCCAATTTCAGCTCAGATTCAAGGGACACAGATGAGGGCTCACCTGCCCTTAAAACCTGTAACTATAAGCAAACACTGCTAGATCCTGCAGTATCCTGCAATATGACAGCTACTTTGTTCTGTAGCCATTTGTACTAGTAGGGATGGGTCATAATGTACAACAAGTACTAGGCTCATTATTGGTGTCTTGTTATACGTGTCATTATTCACAGTTATAAGGATAAAACTACATATCTTCCTTTGAAATGTGGAATTTCTAACATTAATTGTGTAACCTAAAATCTCCAGCACTGATTACACAATAATGAAATAAAAATATTGTTTATTATTAGAATGACCCATTGTGTTGACAATATCTCCCCTGTTGTGATTTAAAGTGTCTCTGTCTGAGTTTGTCTAAACACAAGTCAAGGTCACATCCTGTCTTGTATACCTCTGACTGTTTGTGGTAACTGTTTGTGGTGGCTGTCCTCCAACAGTGTAGTTTCATTTTGCAGTGACCTCAACAGTTCTGAATATCTTCTCAATACTGTACTAGCCCTTAGTGTCACTATCTGAATAATTTGTCAGCATGGCATGTTACTTTACAACCACATACAATGATACCTGTATCATATTGTATAATATTATAGCAAAGTTGACTTTAAGCTAATTGGACAGAAAAAGTCTAATATACAGTATTTTCAATGTATGTAAGTTCTCCTCAATAGAGAATAAAGAGGAATTAAAGAAAGTTTAACCATACTTAAATAAACATCTTCAAACATAAAGAAAAACAAATTGTACATAAAATGAATTTACACCCATTTTAAATGCATTCTCGCTATTTTTTTATTATTTGTGTAAAAAGAGAAGAGTCATGCTACCCATCTAAACCTGATTCATTTTAGGCATAATTAAAAATAATTTATAAAAATGACTATTGCAACAGATGGAATATACTGAACTCTGCAGTGCAGAACAAACTTGTTAAAAATGTGTTATGAAATGGCTCACATGAAACTGTCGTGATACATGGAATAGAAGAAAGTCCTTGGAAAGAAAAAAGCAGACTTTAGGCTGGAAATTTACCTTCAGCGATAAACACTGGATTGAATGGTCATGGCAATATTAAGACCTCCTTCTATTTAAAGTGTAGGTAGGCACCACACAAGTAAGTTCTCATATTGCATTAAAACATACTTTTAATTCTATTTGAACAATTCAAGTCATTTTTTTAATCCCATAATACAAAAATAACTTACCTGTTTGTTAAGATAAGATTAGTTTTGATAACAGAACACGATGTTGTGAATGTATTGATGGAGTAGGCTGTGTCTTTTCACCAAATACAAGAGTTAATAGTATGTAGTATAAACCAGAACAGACAGAAATGAAAAGCTGCTGTTTCTTTAAGGCCTTGGGATCTCCCCCAGGGAGTAAAACCTGCAGTGTACTTACAGCAGTGGCTATACAGTCATATTGCCTCCATCACATAGGCATTTGTCAGTGTGAGAAAGTACACAGCTCAAGCAAAGACTGAACCACTGTGTGTCGACAGAACCGGCCAACAAAGACAACCTTTCAGTTTCCCCGATCCTGTGTGTTTTTGCAGCTACATTCACTGTGGTTCAAGATCCACTTTCAGAGGATCTGGAGCCCTGTTCTCTTCTAATGTTCATCTCATCTCTGTAATTATGCAACGTCGCAGGAATACCATGTCCAGGCAGGTACCAGCTTCATTCATGTACTGATCAGTTTTAGAAAGACATCTCTAATGACATCGCTGAGCTCCAGCTTAAAGATTAAACCTAAAAAATTGTCATGTTACAATAACAATGATACAATTTTAGCCAAATAATGTGCTATGTTTGATTAAGTACCGGTATGTCGACCTTTTATTGATTTCCTCCTAAATCAACAATCATAAGTCATACTACACTGAATTAGTTACACATAACTTTATACACTACTACAATTAGTGAGTACAAGGCATTATACAAGTGTCCTTCATAAGACCAGCAACTAGTGAAATGACAGCCATAAGAGGTGGTAGTGCTCATGTCAAGAATAATGGTCATAGATAACAGGGCTGTTATTTGTTTTGGTCCCTAAGTAGGAGCTCAATAACAGCCTGTGACAAAGTAGACGCCCTATTAGACAGGCAGTGACATTCACAGAGTTACCCCGAGGAGCTGTGAGACCAGGGACACACAGAAACATGTGGATAGACAACTGTGCTCCAGTCTGTGTTTGGCTGACAGTGACAAGAGAAACTCTCTTTTCTATGAGAGGCCTAAGAACAGCAGCACATTAGCTACTTAAACTTTCAAGAGGCCAGTCTGACAGGATCAAGTAAAAACAACAAAATGGTGCCAGATGATTAAAGAGGCAAATTCAGTTATATATATTTTAGGTCAAAGAAATTACTACCAAGAACATAAATATGTACAAATGAATTGGTTGATTATCCTGACTGCTTTTAATCATTCTCTTAAAGGAGTAAGTCATTGTAGCTACTTTGCACCATTAGCACACTTCCTCCTGTCACCATTACAAATTCAGATAAATGTTGGGATCACTGGGTCACGAGATCCACAGAGCTGCGTTCTGGACCAAATGCCAGATCCAGATATAGCTGGACACCATGAGGATAAAAATACCCAAACAGATGGGAGGGTTCGCAGGCAAGGGGGAGAGGCAGCAAGCTCAACTAAAGATTTCAGAGGAGAGGAGAGCTGCAATTACAGCTGTTTGCCAACCTCTGCCTTCTATGTGGTTAGCAAGGCCTTCAATGGATGCCCATTCAGAGATAATGACCTCCCTCAGAGATACAAATGTAAGGATAATGATACACAGTCCAGTGGAGCTGTGGTGGAGATGACGCCTTGCTTTTATTGGTTTCAGTAAGATGTGTGTCTTCTTGCTTAGATCAACAGGACTGGGCTCTCGGACATTACTTTCTTTTCATGTAAATATAAATTAAAACCATGTTATATTGGCAATTTATTGGCTATTCTAGACCTCTGGAAAAAACATTTAATTTATTGATTGAATCCCAGATTGTGTGCTACTGACCACAACACAACTGTTTGCAACTACTACTCCTTCGTTAAACTATGTAGACATACAATGGGGTTCATGTTTTTAAAAACTACGAAAGAGAAAGGTTAAAAGTCTCAGGTGTAATGTATCTCTAATGACAGACGCCATTTGTGAAGCATTTACATTACAGGAAGTTACTGAGGGCTTCAGAAATATGGTATATTGAGTCAAACAATACGCTTTTTTTATATAATGGATCAATTCATGTTATTTAGGCCTTTGTTTGCTTACATTAAGGCACCACTGAAAATGTGATTAGCCAGCAAGTGTTAACAAATTATTACAAAAAACAGAGGGCAAGGTAGACGTAGATGTTCAGGGGAAATGGTTAAGGAGTGACCATTAACATTTTGAGTGTAAAAACATAGGACCAGGACATTTTTGTTTTTTTTATTTCAAGCTTATTGAGAGAAACTGCAGTTTCCTGACTATAGATTGCAACTAGTGAATAAAAAACAATGTAACTAACACTTAATTCAACAACTGTCATAAAAATAGATAGCGTGTGATAATTCCTACTAATTAATTTCACAAAAAAGAGGAAAACATGACTGAGCCCTAATCAGTTCATATGTTCAAACTCTGGGGAGCCCACTTCCTTGACTTTAAGAAGAAACTTTGAAAATGTACTTACCAATTTGATGGCCACATATTCATTAGTATAGAGATTTTTTCCCAGCCGCAGTTCTCCAAAGTTCCCGCAGCCAATTTTTTTGCCCACACGGAAGTTTGGGCCGACCATAAGAACTCCAGAATTGGTCCCTGAACTCCGGCCCCCATGTCCAGTCCGGCTGCTTGCTGTCTTGGACATCTTTTTCCCTTCCTCTGTCTCCGCCTTGCCCCCTCTCTTTTCAAAATCCATAAGCTTGTGATACCCTGGCTTCTCCACGGTTATTCTCAAGCCATACAAACCAAAGAAACTCCAAAAAAACAATGGTAGACTAAGCTTTAGGGAGAGGGGGGAGACAAATACTCAGAACAGAGGAAAGGTGTTGCTGCTAAAAATGTGACTTTGTTCACAAGATCATTGAGAAAATGAGATGAAACTACAGCTTCCAGTGCCGTGTGTGCCAATCAAATCAGCTCTTCAGTTAAGGGCTTTCCGTTATCTTCAAATTCCTTGATGAGTAAAGGAGCTTCTCTCTCACGTTTCTCCAGGACTAGTTTCACGGTAGCATTTCCCTGCCTGAGGAATAGGCAGGTGTTGCTAGGCTGTGCCCAAAGACGCACATACAAAATGACTTATAAAAAAAGAAAAAAAAAAAAAAAAAAAGCACTCCAAAATCCAGCTACCAAATCCACAAGGCAATATAGGAATATCTCCAATGGAGCCTCATTCCTTCTGGTCAGCCTTCAGTGACGGAGTGGACAGACCCCATGCTGCATGGCCACAATTCAGGAGGCAACGCAGGCTTAAAAACAATAAGTGAAAGTCTGGTACTGAGGTACTGGAGATCTGCAAAAGTGAACAAAAAGACAAATATTAAAAAGTGTGTAACAATGTGGTCCATGTGTCTAAATGTATTTGCATCTTCTAGTATTGTGTATCTAAGTCTAAAACAGGTACAAGTGTGAAGCCCATGAAAAACTCTAAACACTGTTTCACAACTTTTCACAACAAGACTTTCAATGGGTCAAACGGTTTTACTAGAACATGTATAAAAATGCTGAATCATGTTTTCAGAAACACTTAGTCATTACTTGAAACCAATAAATATTAATATAAATAGCTTAATATAATATATATAAATCACTTAGTCATTACTTGAAACCAATAAAACATTGATAATAGTAAAAATTGGACTCATACGTCAACAAGAAAAACATTTATTGATAGCAAAACCCGTTTATCAGTATTCATCATAGAACACAACTTTGCTAACCTCACTCTGTACACACATAGGCTATAACTGTGGAATGGTCCAAATCTGGACTTAGCCAAATGAACATTTTCTAGTTGCACCACAGTCCAATCTTTATGCCCCCGGATAATGGCATCATTTTTTTTCCTGAGTTGATTGACATAGTTGCTGAGTCGCAGCCACATAATCAGGATGAACCAGCAGTTAGCACCACAGTCTTTTGCCAAAGAAATACAAGTGAAGCATGTTACACTGTTACCTAACTGACACTCGAACAGCTGTCCTTTACCTTTTAGTTAATTTTTTTATTAATTTACTTTATAAAGTTAATAAAGCACATTGTTGACCAAACATAAAATTACTATTTTCCTGTTTATTTCCCCCACATCTTATCGTTCAAATGTTTCTTCACCCATTAGGCTTCTAAGTTGTTGTTTTTTTGTTTGTTTTTTAATAAACACCCACTGCAAACAAAATGTCAGGTAAATGGCAGATTGTTACCCATTAGTGAACCAATAAAAACAATCTATAAGATTCAGACTGGCAATGAGTGTAACCTGACCACCTCTGTGTAGCTCTTGAAAACGATCACATACTCATATCAGGAGAGCTACTTTCTCTTACTCCCTCATGTCCATGAGCTAAGATGTTGTTGGTGCTAAAGAGAGAGGAGAATACAAGCAAAAGTAATGAGCAGCTAGGTTTTTTTTCCTATGGAAAGGCACTTACACAGATCAATGACTGCTGCAATGCCTCATAACATTTGCATCGATGGGAGGCATATTATTGGTGGAATTTGCATACGGTCTGGTTGACTAACTCAGTTGCATTTGCCTGACTAAGAAGACTGTTAACATAACATGAGTGTAATACAACATCTGCAGTTATCAATGTCTTGAAGATTGGTGAACATTACTGCATTGCATTAATTACATGATATTACAATGTATTCATTTTATATATAATGTGCCTGTAAAAGAAAAAAGGCATTCATCAATAAAACTGTTGTGATTTTAATCTTTTTTGCATTCATTTATTTTCCAAATTAGAGAAAGGGCATTAATTCCATAAAGAGGTGAACATACAATAAAATTGATGTGTAAGTATGTGTTAGTACGTGAAAATAGTATGCCCCTCTGTGTAATAGAACAAATATGCTAGCAATCATTACATTGTCATGTCTCTACAAAAACTGAAGTACAGAATGAAGGCTAGTTTAAAACTAAATGCATTTAGATTAGAAATGGCAATAATGTACAAAACTACTACTACTACATATATTTGATGAAAATTGTTTCCACCAAGTACTAAAAAAATAAGTAAAGCAGTGTCATTATAAAAATGATTCTAGTCACTGATTTGCATTTACAATATTTTGACCCATGGGCTGTTGATGGATTATTTTTATCCCATAGTTCATTCATTTTCATTCATTTTGATATTCTTATTAGTAATTTACAAATGTTACATAATTATATGCACTACAAATATGATATAAGATGTTAACACTAATGTTACATCTGTGCCTATTATGAGTTAGTAGTAATTACCTTTTGATAAAAAAAAGCAGGTTTTCTTGGAGTCTAAATGCTAATTAGTAACATTACACATATTGACTCATACCTATCATTATTGTCTTTGTGTAAACATTGACAATGTAAAAAAAACACAATTGATTTAATGATTTCCTTACTTGTTCCCATTCATTTTCAAAACCCTTGTCATAAAAATAAACATATATGTAATCTATGTTAAAACAGTAGGACTGAACTGAACTATTGGGAATAGAATCGATTATACCTAAAAATAAACAGATATATACAATGCTTTGAGTCATTGTCTTTTCGTACTAATGGGTACAACCTAATTACCTATGTTATATCAGGAAGTAGTGCATTGTTTTCATATCAGCTGTTTAGGTTAGCTGCCAGACCCTTTTAAAACATACACACGCACACACACTGACAAACTTGATATGTAATTTATGTGTACAATAAAAAGGCTAAAAACAAGTGACGAGTGACATATTGAGAGTTATATATTGTAAAAACTGCATTTGAAAGTTAAAAGTGGGTCTTCCAACATTCTTCACGACTAAAATCCAAAAGTTCAACTAAGAGTTAACACGACGAACGACATATTCCATTCACATCAACCAATAATTACAACTTATGGTTGAATTAAACATATAGACTCAAAGCAGCTTTCTTAAGCCTTTCTCGGCTTATGTCAGAGATAGCTGATCGCTAACAGGCTGGTTGGCAGCTGTCAACCAGCGTCAGATAGTGTTAAACCTAAATACATGTTTTTCTTCCCCCCGTACAGGTAATTTCTCTATACCAGATATAAAACCTGAAGAGAAGAAAGAAAAATGACGTTGTATGTGTTGGTTAAACCTAGCGCTAACGTTGCACTGGCTTTTTCGGCGGACAAGGCCAAACATGGACTTAGGCTATGGTCGCCTACAGCTACATTTTATCATCAAAACATGATCAATTTCCTTATCTTAATGTCATTTCCTGGGTAGTCCCATTTTATAAATACTTGTGAATAGACTGATCATGCGGATTTCTTTTAGCTGAAGCCAAGTCGGAAATTCACGCAGCTAACTCTGCTAGCACGTACCAAAAACACGGTTCCTCACGGCCCAAAGCCTAATTAAACCCGCTGTTACAGCCAACAGCCTGTTAACAACACACCGCAAAACTAAAAAAAAATGTATCGGAACTACAATTAGGGAGAAGTGGCCAAATCGAAGCAGGTCATGACATATATTATTCATGAACATACATTACACATATGCTAACTGGTTAGTTAGTAAATGCTTAATAACAACGTCCCTGGCGACGTCGTTACTGTTGGATTGAGTAGAGCAGCGATATAATACATAGATTCTCTTGTTCACCTGAAAGTATCGTTTGTTTGCGATTCAGACTTCCGCGAATTTCATCTCCATTACATCCGCCATCGGGCAACTCCTTAATCCTCAATAACCGACTGCTCCAGCTCCAACAGCGGCAACAGCAGCCGGGGATTCTCTTACCGCTTAGCTCGGTTAGTTAGCCACTTAGCAAGTTAGCACACGAAACAGGAGCAAACACGATTCTACATGTAAATGTCTTCTAAATCAACTGTTTTCTACGAAACAGCTATCGCCAGAAGAAATATTCTTACCTTTTAACTCGGTTATAGAGGCGAGGTCGAAGTCATGGTCCGACTTTCGAGTATTTCTTTCTCATTTCGTTTCCTCTTGTCTTCAAGTTGCTATGATTTCGCTGTTGTCTCTTTAAGCCCAGCCACACACAGCGTCACCGCGCTGCGCTGGAAAGCTGACGTAAACTGGTTTTGTGAATAAATCACAAGTTTCGGCTATACGTAACTGACACAGAGCCGTTTATTTGACTAATTTGAACTTTTTTCAACAAATCTGGCTGAAATTGTATGATTAAGCTTAACTACGTTCCCCAGGGATTCAGACCTAATTAATGGCAGATCCATTAGAAAAACTTGTTCATGATTCATGGAGCTACAGCAAACAGAAATTTCCACAGAAGTAAAGTAATTCCCTTGATTTTTCTTGTTTACAGTTGGTTCTTACTGGGGTTTTTTCGCCATTTGTTTCTTGTTGGAAATACTTATCTCTTTAAAATAAATCCAATAGGTTAGAATCATATCTGTTTGTATTTTAACTTTTTACACTGTGTATTTATGTTGGTGGAGGTGTGCAGCTCCACCAAACAGCCCTTTACTACATACAGACACCAAACCAGTGACCTGTGACTCAAACCCAACTGCCCTGCTGTGTATTTCTAATATCAAATAGAAAATAACAGCTCCCCAAATCTATTTACAACAATAATCGTTAACACAAAAAGAGTTGTGCAGAACCACCTGCAGAGTACTGAGGGATTTTATGTATGTGAACAGTAAGTGAAAAATATGTATGCAACAAAATATCATTTTGTACAACTTTCTTTTTAAAGTTTGTTTCAGATATATGTAATATGAATTCCTTATAGAAAGAAGTGCAATGTAAAATAGATTTGAGCTTTTATTAATGTGCACTCACTGAACTGTGAAGTACACAGTTCCATCATCAAGTCCTTACATACACAATACAACATTCTTACATTTCAATTTACTTCCCTAGTAGAAAATCAAGTCAGTGACAAATCATCCATTTTAGAAAAGAAAAAAAGTTTAAATTGTGGACTTTTGACTACAGCCGAAAAACACCACACTTCATATTTCACTTCTAAAATGACAACAGGAAGTGCTCACATCTGTAGTACATGGGATATACAACTTAAATAGACACACGATCATTGCCATAACTAGATGCTGCCAATGCAGTTATGGACTAAGCTGCAGATTTACTACCATTTTGACCCATGTCAAAAGAAAACAATGAGGTGGAGTGAAAGACCAAAGTAGAAAGAAATATTTATCGTTTGACTCTTCAATATACCTGCAGGGCACCAAATGTTTTCAGGCATGTTTGGACCATAGATCATACATAAGAATAAACAGATCTCTCTCTATATTTCAGTTGCAAAGGGAAGAAAAATATGTGCTAACTAATTACATCATATCCTCAGTTTGCAGTAGTAAGATGGTTGCTTCCAAACATTAACCCAGACCTTTTAGATTACAAATGCTGCGTGCAGCATTTTGTTGCAATGATGTTGCTCTAAGTTTTTTCTCACCTTCAACACAAAATACTTTTGAGATGACTGGTTGCCCACGCTGAAACAAAACCAAACTGCATCTCAAATGAGTTGAAAATGATTTTATTTAACTTTATTTCCTGTTTTTTGTTAGATCAGAGAGGAGTTATGAAAACCTTCCATTGGATACTTGGTTTTGTAGCTAGCTGCATTATGGTGAAGGAGACAGGAATATCTTTAAATGTAGTGCAGGCTATGCTTCTTGTCGGGAACAAAAATAAGATGGAATAAACAATGGCCTCATCCAAGAAAAGTCACACTCACACTGGCAAACTTCAACTAAACTGCTGGTGTTATTTAAAGCAAACCCACATTAGACTACATTACAATAACCTCTGAGAAAACAACATGCTGCTCTACATCTTAGAGTTAGACCCTGCTCCAGGCCCAAAAATGAGCACCGGAGGTAACTAATTGGGGTTTTGAGAGTGGGACAAACTAGTACTTTAACACTAGTTTTGTCCAGTTCTGTAGAAAAATATTCTCTGCTCAGCCTTGGTTATTTTTATTACAAGGCGCTGACTCCACCTCAGATCTGAAATGGAGACGCTTTTTATCCAAAAAAAAAAACCAACATTCTATTGAACTCTCTTGGTTAGCCAGAGAGAAATAATTTAAAATGTAAAAAATAATTTTATTACTGATTAAAATGTGGGTGTCATTTGTGATGTATGTTAAGCTCTGACCTATGATCCTAATATGGAGAAATTGTGTATTGCACACATGTTGTAATGTAAAATTAAATAATTAAAGAACCAGTCATGGACAAAAGGTTTGTGTTTTTCAGTTGAACCAGTCATGGACAAAAGGTTTGTGTACATTTTCAGTTAAAAAAAAAACTGGACCATATGAGAAATGTTGTTTTTAATGGGAAGAAACTAAAGAATACTATGTAATCTGCTAAATAAAAGTTATTTTTCTCTTCAGTTCCTGTGCTTTTCTGCACTGTATTACACTTGTTTTTTTTAGGCTTTGTTAATAAAGAGACAAAAACTTGTGTCTATTTGTGACACATTGTAAAAATCAGTTACAGCAGGGAGGGGCTATGGACAGCGGGGGGTTCACACAGTTTTACTGGAGAAGGCAGTCTGGAGCGACAGGCTACAGTGTTTGCTGCCTGATGATGGAGGAGCCCTCAGGGTGGAGCTGTGCTGCTGCTGTATAATAGGCCAGTACAGTGGGGGGAGGGGGAGGTCAGAGGACAGCACTCCCAAAACAGGCTGGTGAGGAGCGTGGCCGTGGCACTCCCCTCTCATGACAGGAAGGAGTGGAGTGGAGTGGAGGCGGAGAGTGCACCGTGAGATATCAGCATCTGAGAGCGTGAGTGGAGGAGGACATACGTCCCTGACATGTGGAGGACGAGGAGGAAGTGGAGGAAAAATATTGCTGTCAATGCATGCTGTTGTCGTGTCCTGTTTGTCCTCAGCCGTGGCGTCTTCCTGTCCCACCTTACTGCAATGTGGCATGTCCTCCAGACTGGAGGGTGAGGAGCACTTCTGATCTTTACGAAACTTTGCTCTTCTGTTCTTGAACCACACCTGCATCACAACAGCAAAAAAATATTAGTATACATTGACTTTTTGCCAATATTTGAAATGCCGATATTGTCCAAACACTTCGTTTTTAATGCCAATATAGGCCTGGTAATTTTTATCTTGTTCTGCAAACAATCCTATGCTTATAAAATAGATTAATTAAATGAGCTGCAATGCTGCCATCTAGTGACTTTCACATTAATATACAGCCGTTTATCCCCAAAACTATTTTTAGGACACACATCATTTGGCAATACCCAGGCATTGCATTATTGGGTCTTCATTATCGGAGGAAAAACAGAAAACGATTCTTATAGATATTACATAATTATACTAATATCGGGTGTTAATATTGATCGGCCGATATTATCGGATATACCTAATGCTAACAACTTAACTAACAGAGACGTACAGAGAGAAAGAGAAAAGACAGAGACGAAACACTTTTTAAAAAAAAATATCCTCAACTTTGAAGTTTTTTAAAAGAATAACCAGAACCAGTTACACAAATCAGAGCTCAGGACCCTGGAACAACAGAGTCTCCAAACCGAACCTGTTTTGGGTGTAGACTACGTTTCTCACCTGGATGCGAGCCTCAGGCAGGTTGATGCAGACAGCCAGCCTCTCTCTCATGCCAACGTCTGGGTACTGTGTCTGTTGAAAGGCTTTCTCCAGAGCTTGTAACTGGGACACGGAGAACGCCGTGCGGCTGCGACGCTGCTTCTGCTGATTTCCATAATGAGCCTCCAGAATCAGCTCTGCTATGACACAGAAGACAAAATTTCAAATGTGAAAATGTGAAGACTCAGCAGCAGATAAATAGAATAAAGAGGGAGAAAAAAGGTGATACAATCAAGTAGACGACTGAATATGACTGGACAACACGAGTCTGATCAAAAATACTAGAAACCTATGGATGGTGCGGCTGTTGGCCATAAGCCATGAGCAGTAATTTATACTCTCATACTTCTCAGGGTTCTAGGGTGGAGCTAAAGCCAATCCCAGCAGTCAATGGGTGAGGGTGAGACACGCGCTAAACAGTTTACTAGTCCATATAATCTACTAATTGGTTAATCCTGCATGTTTATGGACTGTGGGAAAACAAAACGTTGGCAAACAAAACCCCACACAGGCCATCGGTTACCATTAGGAATCGAACCTGTGACCTTACTAATGTAAGGCAATAGCAGTCAACCTCTACCGAGTCATGCCTGAATTAAATCCAGTTTCTTTATCTTGTTCTGGGTCAAAATACTGGGTCGGGTGATTCTGAATTTTTACATATTTACGTCAAACCAGAAAATACTTCTGGGCCTGCGAGAGAGAGAGAGAGAGAGAGAGAGAGAGAGAGAGAACTCCATCCACTTCTTGTACCTGGTCCATGGTTGTCCACTGAGGACCATGATGGCAAAATTAGGCCTGGTCTGTGGGCCAGATCCAGCCCTGGTGCCTTAAGTTGCTGATACTTGGACCAGTCGTTTAATTAACTAATATATATATCACATCATAGAATGATATAGAATCATAGTGAAAAGGCTTCGTGTTTTCCTTCAGCCCAGCGGACTCGGTCTGATCACTGACCATCTTCTCAAACCTACACTCCACGGACTCTGCGCTGTGGTGAGTGGGTGTGTTCACTGCAGACCCACCTGCCAGTCTCTCAGCCACAGTGAGTGGGTGCACCGTGGGGCCTGCAGCAGCAGAGTACGCCTGGTACTGTTCTGCCACCTGCTGGTGAATGTCAAACAGCATGGAGTTCACAACGTGAAGAGGATGAACTGCAGCTCGAGATGGTCCGCAGAAATTCAAGGAGTTCATGCTGAAGAAAGAAAACATGAGACGAAACAATTAGGATTTTACTCTTTGTCTAACGAGACCTAGAAGACAATTTAGAAAACGATGTCGTGTCTAAATCTGAACATTATTTTTTTTCTCGGAAATTGTATTTTTTTTCTGAAATAATGAGTTTGGTTTCCCACAATGTTATGATTACAATAAAAATTAAGCATGTATTGTTAATTTGGGTTCAAGAATTGTAAGATTAAATTATTTTGGATTATATTCAAGAATCTAACCAGTTCACTGTCAATCTGTGATTGTAGTTAAGACGGAATACTTTTCAGTATTTTAATGGGACTCATGTTGTTTTTCTCACTGATCAAATGATGAAATTACCAAAATATTTTCCAATTTTTTGTCCACAAAATTTGAAGATGAATTTCAGAAATCTTAGCAGAGGCTGGAGTCAGATTTCTGAGTTATTTCAGAACTGTCTTAGAAAACACCAGTCGTTATGTGTGAAGGAGTTTAAAATCAACCTCTTAATTTTGACTGTAGAATTTAAAATCACAGATTTCTGACAAAAAGGTCAAATCACAGAAATCCAACTTCATCTGAAAGAGATTTTCCACGTGGCCCTAATTCCTTGTCTGCACCATCAGCAAAATTAATCCAGAATAAATTCCCATGAACCATCCTTCGATCGGTCCAAACCGGTCTTTTGTGGTCTATATCTACACCTTTGTGAATTATTTGGCTTCTGTTATAAATGATAAGAAGCAGCATTTTTGAACTTAATTTTAACTCGTTTTATCTTCAGAGTTCAGAGAAGTCCCTGGGTTAATTACCCAGATCATTATCAGCTGATCAGCAGATCCTCAGTCCTCGGTTGGGTTACCTGAATGGTTTTCTGAATGCTCAGGCCTGTGGTTCTGGTCCAGTATTTCCTCTAGTCCCGGTTCTGGCCTTAAATCCACACACGGCAGCAGCAGCAGCAGCAGCAGCAGCAGCAGCAGCAGCAGTAGAAGTTCTCTTTGTGGTGACACAGATCCCGTTCCAGAAAGGCATTCTCACCCTCCACTATTTAAGAAGCATTTAGCCAGGCTCCTTCTGCCATTAGCCAATAGAAAGGAAGGTATTAGCTGGGATTAGGTGGGATGAGGGAAGAGTGGGGGGCTGCAATGGGCTCAAGTTTTTGAAACTATTGAACTTGAGAGATTTATGCCAAGGATCCCCCTATAAGCAAGCGTTTCACTCCCTCCCTGTAAAACAATTAAAACAATGTGCCGGGCTAATCTTCCAGGCAGGACAGATTAAAATAACAGCCATGGATTGTCCTGTCCTCAGTCCTCTCTTTCTGTCTTTTCCTCCTGGACCGCTGCTTTGACAGAGGGAGAGGTGGTGGTGGTGGGGGGGTTCTCTGAGGGTTTGTTTTTCTAACAGGCACCATATTTTACCCATGAACTGTCAGCGTGTGAAGTTAATCTGAAGCCTGCTCGATGACACACTATTTCTCAATTTACGGCTAAATTATAAATATTTCGTAGAAGAGAGCAGAGCTGCAGTCACCACTGAGAGGAGGTTCTCTTAACACCATTCACGGTTTAACAGTCTGGGTGGCAGCTCTTTATAAACCTGTCTCTGATGGTGAGGAGTAAAATATAAATATATTTTACTTTCAATTTTATACTTTTTTGAGAACATTCAGCAGTAAGCAGCAATATTTACAAGGTCATATTTATCCCTACATTTATACATTTATATACTGCAGAGCTAATCATTTGACATGGAGTTCATTCATTCTTCTGAGTTCTGTTCAGTTCAACTTCAGAGTTCATCCTTAAATGTGCGGCTGTTTCCTTGGTTTTGAATTTCAGGGGAACTTTTTTAATCTAATTAAGACATTACTAAATGTAGATTAAAAATCATAATATTTATTTATATCTGAATGAATATGAAAAGCATCTAAATTCATTGGTAAACATCAGGGACGTGCCGTCTACTTTGAGGACGTCCAGGAATATTCATGATCCTCTTCTTCCTCTCACTTTTCACATGACAAACAGCTCCGACTCCTGAAATATGTGAAAATGTTTGTGTTCTTCTTCTCCCTGCTTTTTTCCTCCTCTTTTCTCTGTTCTTGGCTGTCAAGCTATATTAGTGTCCGATAGAAATAAGTCATTTAGAAGAGCCTCTGTCGGCCTGCCCCTCAGCCCCACTAAAAGCTCCAGGATTAGGTCCCAGAGGCCTTTGTCTCCGCAGCCTGCAGGATTAGGGGAGATTTACTTGGAGGAGAGAAAAAAAAGTAGTTATTTCATGGCACTTTCATGATGAAACCTGGCCAAAGCTGTGTTGGCTGGGGGGATTAAAGACACACAAAGACTGTGTGTTGTGTGTGACCCTCCCCATCTCAGAGCTGCTACCACCAACTCGCTCGCTCACTCCCCCTCCTCCAGATCATGTCACCTTCTGCGGGCCTGCGGACCCCGGCCAGGTTCACCTGCAACCTGTTAGTGCGGTGATCAGGTGATCAGGTGATCAGGTGTCCCGCCTCGTGCACTTTGTTCGTCCCGCAAACTGAGACGTTCTCTCTCGTTTGGATTCTCGGAGGTCGTACATACACTTTTTTTGTCTTCGCTCGTGTCCAGTGGCTGGGGGAAAGCGAGGACGTCTGTGCATGTGTCAACCACGAAAGCCTGGTCTATGCTCCCTTCACTTTAAATACATAACTAAGGACGTCACATTCGCTGTACGTTACAAATATTTCTTTCATTTCATTTAGCCAAATCTAGCAGTTCACAGCAGGTATTAAAGTTCCTGGACCGAGTACTGAGCCCTGTGGTGCTCCACAAGGAGGAACTTTATTCAAAATCTTCTTGGTGAAACACGTGTATTTTGTTTTTTAAAGGGAACGGGAAAGTCATTGTTTTTAGTATTTCCACTCAGTGTCTTACCCACTGTGGACCCCTGACTCCAGAGGACACCCTCAGCGGCCCGACCCTCAGCCTCGGTATAATCTGCAGAATTTCCTCCTAATTAAGAGTCTGATCTTTACTGAGTCTCTTACATTGATCTGCTGCCAACGCTGTTTATTGCTGCGTTCCCATGGGCCGTGCTGCAGATCATGGGGTTATAATTGAGGCGACTCCATCTCTGGGTCACATATAAAGGAGGGATTATTATGGTGTGGAGCGTTTCTCAGACTCATTTTAGCCCAATCAAATTTGGAGAATGGATTAGTTTGTTCACTTAGAACTGTGCAGAAAATGATATTCTCAGTGAAATTCCACTCTCCAGAGCCAAGCCTTCTGTGGGTTAGTGTGTGTGTGTGTGTGTGTGTACAGATAAGATTTCGGTGTGGACTTGGTGTGTTTGCAGCCAGGTCAATGTCACCCTAAGCCCTGAGTGTGTCACAGCCAGTGTCAGGTCTCACAGTGTGATCCTGGACTCAGAGAACGGCTTAAGAAGACCCACCGACCCGCTGCCTGCTCGTTCTTACCCACTCAGGTCAAAGGCCAGCCGGCTGTATTGATCCCCCCCGATGAAGCACTCTTTAGCGCCTCCGCCTGCTCACCCTGCCTTGGCCCACATGCTCCTGGACTGACACAGTGCCCCCCCCCCCACACACACACCTCCCTAAAGAGCCCCCTCAGTTCGTTTGCATGCCCATCGATCTACTCTGTGTCAGAGGGAGGGGTCGCCATCCTTTCAGATAACTGACAACTACAAAGACCCCCCCCCCGACAGGCTCTTGTCAATACAAATTTCCACTATTGATAAATCATTATAAAAGGATGGAACATAAGGCTGGTTTTCTCTATAAGGCATCTGTTAAACACATACGTTAACAATAACATGGACAGACAGAGAAAAAGGACGGAGGAAGATTCACTCCCCGTCAGCTTCACTGATGTCAACAGAACCTCAGTTGGTTCTTGCTCTGTTAGTTATATCTTCAGTCAAACACTACTCCATAGATTGGTCACATGTGAGGGTAAATTATAAAGTTCTAAGAGAGATGTCATCATTTCAAAACTGTCTGATTTTAGTAACTCCAGTAACTGTGATAGATTTAAAAAACAAGAATTTTAAAATCAGAGGAAACATAAAAGTTTTAACCGTGTGGGTTAGTGAAAATGGTTGAACTAAAATGGTTGAACTTGTGATTCAAGCTCTAAATATTGTTCTTTTAATTTCTCAGGTTAAGAAACTCTGCTGTATGGACTTTACTAAATGCTTTTTAAATATCCCGCGGACCACACAAAACGGCTTCTTTGGCAGGCGAAGTAGAGTGACAGAAGAATACACCCTTCAATAACTTTTATAAAATCTTCTAACTTCATGTACAAAAACAGATTCTGTTGTACTGCGTACCAACTTCATAGTATTACCTCCTATCACTCTGGAATTAGAGCGTGTTAAAAGTGTCTATTCACTAAAGTCCTCACAGAGCATGATGCCACACTCCATCTCCCAGCATGGGGTCAGTTTCAGAGCCTCACCCTTCACACACACACACCCTCCCCCCCCAGCCTCCCGCTGACCCCCACTCGTCAAAGGTGATCACGAGGGAGAGAGAAAGAGAGGCACTGATCGAATTTGATAATGAAGACGACCTCTAAGCTGCTTTGCTCCACATGTTCAAAATCTCAGCAACACTCAACAAACACTAGGAAGCCCCCCAGCCTGTCACTGCAACATTGTGTCGGTATTGATCCTCACTAAGTGGCTCTTTTAATACCTGGGGTCTTCGGCCGGGCCTGGGGAAATGCATACTGACATGTGACGAGTGGAGCTTAACAACAACGGCAAAAACTGCAAAGAAAAGGATGGGCCTCTCAGTTGAGCATGTGTCTCCTGTTCCTGCTCCAATTTACACATCTGCTGAAGAAAGGAGGACCACGGCCGCCGCACCTGCTGCTGCAGAGACGTATGGACCGCCTAAAGACGCAGCACTGTCACACTGTCACGGGCTAATTGTGCAGCAGATGTGGAAAAGTCCTGGGATCTTAGATTTACTGAAGGAAAAAGAAAAAGAAAACTACACTGGTTACTTCATATCTCAGAATGACTCCATAAACAACAGAGAACACACAAACTGGGAGATGGAGACTAAGTGGTGTCAAATCTGTAGCCTTGTGGTGGCAGGTAGTATTGCACCAATCTAGCCCGCCTGTAATCCACCTACTTTTTTAATTAAATTCTATTTGTTGAATGAATACTTCTGGACAGATGCTAGATCACTCCTGGTTACACAGTTTTATTTGGATTACACTTTTTGAATTTCTTTGTTTTAGTTCAATATGTTTTAAAGATAACAGCCAGGGGTCACTGTTGTCTGATTCTTCTCATACATGGGATCTCACGTGTCTATTGTGAGATAAAATCATCACTCTGACAAAGAGTGATGATTTTACTGCAGAGATCAGTAGTGAAATGTCACACCCTGGCATACATATCAATCAGAGACAGAGTCACATCTTATCTTAACTAATATATTTGTTGTTTTTAATACAAAAAGGACAAACAACCAAAAATACATACAGAAACTGCATATGTACAGCACTCTGTGTATTCTCTTCTGTCGTCTTCAACGTAAAACAGCACAGGTTTGTTAAGGGACCCGAAACCATGTTGTAACTTGATCGACCGAGTCTAAATTCGACAACTGTGGAACAACGGTATTCTTATCAGTGTAAAGCAGAAACACACAATATCACGCCTTCAACAGTCCTGGAGACTGGGGAACTTTGTGTTTCATGCAGTGGACAGCTGTGGATATGAAGTCTGAACAAGGCAAAAAAAAGGGTAATATTTATTATCAACTTTGACAAACAGGCTGAACATGTGTGTCAATTAATGATCAAGTATTATAGGATTAGTCTATGTAAACTAAGTGACAATAAATGTGGTGCAACGAGGAAAGTGCATTTACACAGCAATTTGACAAACTAAGACATTAATGCACTCGGTGTAGCAAAAAAAAAAAAAAAAAGTTTTGTGGTTAATTTGAACACAGATGAGGTACTCAGACTTTGGCCCTGGACAACAAGAGCGTCACTATAGTGCAATTCAGGCTGAGGACAGAGTCTGGCTTGATTTATTTTCATATTGACCTTTCAGAGGACAAAGTCCTGTCATTCTGCGTCGCTCCTCCACGAAGACACTGCTGAAATAAGAGAAATGCTGTGAGACTAACATTATTTAGAACTGAAGAAACCAACACGCAAGAGGGAACACTGTCAGTTTGGATCCTATTGTTCTGCGGGTGTTGACTGTTTTGTCCTCAGATATTGTGAATATGGACTCAGTTCTGCTCGGGCTGTTCAGCTAAAAATGCGCTGAACCTCCATCTCTGTCCTCTGACAGATGCAGGTCACCTGTCTGTAACCGACACAGAAGCAGGAAGTCATACTGCCTCAGGTCGTAGGTCATCTTTTGACTTTAGCATCCTCCTTGATCCTCCACATCATCAGCTCCATACAGGCAGTGGCGTCTTCACTGGAGTCGTGTCCGTCCACTGGGATCAGAGAAGAACAGGACATTAGTATAGAATGGAACACAAGAGAACCAGGTGAATTTATTGATGTCGTGTGTAAGTTAGTTGGTAAACATAAAAATATTTTTTTAAACAAATTTTTAAAATCTTAATCAGGTGACAGCAACTTAGAAAAATGTTGTTATAAACATTTTTATCTCTACAGGATAGAAGACATTTAACGTCATACACGTGAGAATGAAACCAGCTTTGAAAACACTGCAGATGACTGACATCTACTGGAGACATGACCACAGTGCAGGTGAATTCTACTTTTTTTTTCAAATTATCATCATTTATTAGAGAATGTGATTTAAATTTAAATTCATCAATGGAAATCCTTTCACATCTTCTTACCGTTGTCCTGGATGATGCGTTTGAGGTGGTCGGCCATCAGGTTCCTCAAGGCACGTTTGTAGGGCAAACCCAGACGGTGAGGGAACACGATGGCCGTGTCTACGACTGAACTGTGGATCAACTGGAATTTGACGGCAAAACAGAAAAATGAGAGTGATCATGTGATATTTTTATATAAATCATAAGACACAGCTTTTCTTGGGATTCACCCCCTGCTGGCCATTTATTATACTGCATTTAGTTATGGATTTCTATGCGGCCAAAACAGAAATCAAGGAGTGAGTGTCCACTGTAAACATACAGTTTATGATTGTGGTAGACCTGTACCTTCAGAGCCAGGAGGTCACTCTCCAGACTGTGTCCAATGAGAATGGATTCAGCACTGAACATACTGAGCAGCACGGCCTGAACATCTCTCAGAGTGATGGTGGCGTTTTCTAAGTCCTCCTGAGTCACACCTGAAAATCTGTTGTGTAAAAAGTTTGCTGCTGTGACAAAACAATTCCAAGTTGTTTTTCGTTTTTTTTTTCAAGTTGTCTCGATGCCAGGTGGACGAAGAATGGCTCACCGCGTGTTGTAGTCAACGACCTTCTTCTCAGGTTTGACAAAAGTGTCGTAGATGACTTTCATCCTTGAGTCGATGACCGTCACTCTGGTCAGCTCTAGGCCCAGTTTTGTGTAGCACTGTCACAAAAACAGATGATTTATTTTCTCATTGTTTACACTTTTACAGTCAAAATTTAATTTGAATTGAATTTAAAATGAATTTTGACATAATAAAACAAAAGGAAAATCTTTGAATTGAATTTAAAATGAATTTTGACAAAACAAAAGGAAAAACTTTGGATCATAAGTGGATCATAATGTATTTTATTATCATAAATGAAAGAAACAAATATGCTGGTTGCACTAATTTTCATTTCAAAAAGAGTCTATAAGAATTAGGGCTACTCTAGAACTCTGCGTCAAAAAGAGTCTATAAGAATTAGGGCTCTAGAACTCTGCATCACCTCCTCTGTTTTTTATTCCATACAAATAGACACAGCCTCAGTCTGTGAACCTGGGCTACACAGCAGAAAACAAAAGTGGATGTGAGTAAAGAAACCACTTCCCTGAACTGAAATTCCCCCGTGGATTCAAATGTGTGTCCATGGTCCAAAAATAATAAAAATAGACCTACAGTAATTTGACTCAGTAACTTTGGTCCAAGTCCAGTCGAGTGTTTTTCAAGTGTGGTGACATTTCTGGAAACCCGTGTCACACTCACCATCTCACAGTCCAAAGCAAACACCCCTCCGTTGCCATCTGGCGGTAGACGCTTACTGAAAGTCTTCACGTAGCCGTCCAACGACTCTTTACGTCCGTCCTGAACGTGTTGCTGTGTGAAAACGAAACGTGAACTCAGTGACTATGTTGAGCTCGAACAGAGAGGCACGTGGAGAGCTTTGAATTAAGGAAACTGACTGACCCCTACTGGCTAAATGGAATATAGAGTTCTACATTATTCAGGGCTGTCAAATTTAACAAATTGGAATTTTTCCAATTAAAAATGTTAACGCAGCAGCAGAATATATATCCAATAATTCCACCATCCATCCACCGCTCTAATACACAGTCAATACACATGTTATTTACACACGTTGCGAGAAAAAGTTTTCGTTTCACCTGAGAATCTCAAGCTTAAAAGACCATCTCTTGTACCTTGGACACTTGACATCCCAGAGTTCCCACAGCAGCAGAACAGCAGCTGTAACTGGTCTCCCAGCCTCCAGCCACTGACGCAGCAGACAAATGAGGTAAAAGAGAGAGAAAGAGAGAGAGAGCGACGGTCAGATTATGTTTGCAACAAAATGCCACTGACGACGACATGTGAACCAGGATACCTTTGTGTCTGCGTAAACGTCCCCAGTGAAAAGTGCATTCTTCTTTGCGTACACAGTTTCCACTGACGTTGATTCTGTACTCTGCCCCACATCGACAGCAGATTTTGTTGAAGGCTGGAAAACATTACGGTGAAAATCAAACATCGCGATTGTCCATTGAACAATCATGAGTGGATTTTTGGAAGAATTAATAAAACATTATCGTCTAAAATATCAACAAAGAGCTTGGATAAACCAAATCAGGTGGTGAGATGTCATAGACGCAAAACATGCGTCACTGCGACGTGAACATTTCTTAACCGATTGGCTAATGAAACTATAACAGGTGTAACCAAAGTGCATCAATTGAGCGGTTCTGTAAACCTGGTTGAACTAGAGTCCACAGCTCAACAACAATAACATTCCATCAGTACAGCATACACCATCAGACCAGTATACCATCATTCAAACAGACAGCTACATCTGTGTGTTGAGTTATGAGAACATTATACAACCTGGTAAAACAGGTTTCTAACTATGGATTAACATACTTGTACTTTTATACAATGATGCACTGATTTGACATCCAGCTTCACTCTGATACTCAACCAACAAGCACTCTTAAGAGCTGAAAAGACCTTAACTGTAGTGTGGCCTTGACTGTAACTACAGAACATGTACAATCTTATTACAATTACACAATGTACAATTATTTAACAAAAATATTTCTTTCACCACAGCTGAAAAGACACTTACGGTCTGGAACTATTTTTTTCTCCGGCTGGTTGAATATTAAAGCCTTCCCAGCAGCCTCTGGGTTTGATCTCGGGTATCCGTGCTCCTGGAGCTGCTCCTCCGTCATCAGATACGACTGCAGCTTCCTGTACAGTGTGGCTCCTGGAGCAAAATAATCATTAAAATAAATGTTTGCCTTTTGCAAATAATGAAAATGTCATATGAACTAAACAACAAATAATTAAACTCCAACTGTATTTTACATATTTTCTGCCCACTGGGGCATTTCTATTGTATCTACAAAAAAAAAACCAACTGGATGACGACGTTAGTCTGAAGTGAGCAGGTGTTTCCTGTAGCCGTTCTAATGTGAGCTACAGAGAACAATGGTCACGACTGACCGATTGTTCCCAAAGTGCAGTATCACTTTGGTTCTCATAACCTCAGTGTGGTTTTTACCATTAATTATCACGATCTAAAGACTTGATGAGCATGGATGATTAACAATAGTAGAGTTCATGTTTTTACTTAATAAACTAACCGAATTATTTACTTTACCCATGGTTTATAAATGAATTAAAGAAGACTCGCTGTAGTTTGGTGCTGTAGTTTGATGCTGTGGTTTGGTGCTGTGGTTTGGTGCTGTATCGTAAGGACAACTAGTTTGGTGCTGTAGTTTGGTGCTGTATCGTAAGGACAATAGTCTGCAGTGCAGTCCGTGGTAAAACAACAACACTGAAAGAACGACGACACACGTCAGGACCACAGGCGTCTGCTCTCGTCTCTCCTCACCCGTCAGTTTCTCCTCCTGCTGTTTACCCGTCCTGTTGATAGTGAAGCTGGTTGTAGCAGCCAGACGACCCCCGAGGACGTCCTCGTGGGACTGAGCCCTCCTGTTGGGGGGTAACCCTGGTTCCTCTGTGAACACAGGTTTGAACATAATATTAAAACCATGAAATAATACATTACACGCCTTGGTTTGATGTAGTGTCTCAGCTGAAGGTGAACGCACTTGAACGGACAAACTGAGGAGGGGACATTTGAGACTAAGACGACTTTCTGACATGTTAGAGTAAACATTTGTCAACACGAAGCGAAGTGACACATTCATTTACAGTGGTTAATTACTGTTACTACAGACTGAATGTAGTACAGCAGTGAACAGGGCTTGACGTACTGTAGGCAGGTGAAGGACTGGAGCTGCTCTTGCTCCGCAGTTTCTTCAGAGTATTGACAGCTATGTTGAGGTAAATGTTCTTACTGCTGCTGCGCTCGTACACCAGCTTCTCCTCATCAAGGCCCTGGAGAGAGAATCACAGCACAGGAATTCATAGGTGTTTACTGGGAGGTTTTAGTCAGACAGATATTAAGTCCCATTATTTCAGTCAGATCACTGCAACAGAAGTGAATTATGTTTACCATCTGGAAGGCAGCTTCTTCAGAGGGGCAGAATTTGACACATTCATCTATGAAAGTGTTGAGGTAGCGCTGGCGGATGTTGGTGGGAACTTTGGCCCCGAATTCAGAGGGGATGACCGGCCGCTTCATCGAAGAACTCTGGAAAAAGTAAAAAAAAAAATCATCATCCTCCCCCACACATTAATAAACTGCATCTGCTTCTAATAAATACAGTATATCAAATGCCAGATTTTGGCATCTGATGACAGCAGCATTGTTCAACGTTACACTCGATCATATATGAACTGATAACATCTCCACTATTACTTTCCTGGTTTGTTGGAAAACACTGTACACATCAACACAAAAACACAAACAACTGTCACTAAATGATGAACACAGTGGATACCTTCAAGGTCGGTGTGTGTGCCACCCTCTTCCCTATTATAGTCGATGTGGTTTTGGACAAAATACAAGCGGTGGTCTGAGGCTGGACACTCTGATGGGATTGGCTGAGGGACAAGACTTTACTCACAGTTGGTTTAGCATCTGCAGCACCTGCTGAGACAAAGACAAAAACAAAGACACAGAGGTGTCATGATAGTCGAATTTGGTAGTTGATGGGTGACGATGACTCTCGTACCTGTCGTGGTCACTGTGATCTGTCGGTTGGGACGGTGTGCTATTCTCTTCCTCTCTCCGGAGAAGCTGTGACCGGAGCTCTGAGCAGCAGCTTTGGCTGAAGCAGAAAGCTGAACAGCCTGCTGCTGTGCCAGCTGCATCCGCTGGTAACAGACCTCCTGAGCCGTCAGTCTCTTGTACGGACGCACCACGGGCTTAGAAGACGTTTCTGCCTGGAAACACAGAAATCAGTTTATATACCGAGGTGTGTGAACAAAGTGAGAGAGAACGATGGTAACATGGCAACGAAAAGAAGGAACGCCAGGATTATTTGGTGGCAAGGCAACAAGTGCAACATGATTGTACTGAAGCCATGGACAGTGTTATCAGTTGGTACATCCTTTATACCCTTATATTCCTTTATATAACAACAATTTGATTGATTCCTTTAAGGTTTACGGAACCCATTTTTATAACTAACCAGAAGCAATGACAATAATAATGATAAAAGATAAGGTTGATAATAATAACAAAAAAACTACAACATTGTCAATAACAATAAATTACAATGTTAATAATAATAAAACCAAACAATCCTGTCTTGTTTCACAAATCTATCTCAACAACCTCTGACATTTTTAAAATTTTAAAACTGTTTTTATTGTTAATCAGTTATTGGATGTCACTTCCTAATTATCCTCACATATTTAGGGATTTATTTGATTCAAAGAATCTTTAACTGGTTATCAAGGCACTGTGTGTAAAGGAGGTTTTTAGCAGAGATAAAGGTCTGAGTCTGTGTGGCTGCATTGTAATTTGAACTTCTGTTCCAAAATGTGTTCCTGTGCTGTTACTGTTTCAGAACACCTGCAGTAATGATTACACAGCAGACTGGTTTCCTGCTAACTAAAAACTGCAAAACAATACAACATTCAATGTCCTGACCTTCTGCTGAAATTACAAGTAGCCTGTAGCATTTGAGCCAAACTATTTTTTAGGTCTGTACACACTTACGATACTCAGAGTGCTGTCCAAATGTCCTAAACTCATGCTGTGTCGAAATTCTCCAGTAAAAGCAGTGCCTTCAAAGATCAGCCTGAGAAGGTGACGGTCCGCTGCTCAGACTGCGGCTGTGACTGACAGACTCACGACTCCTTTGGTAACACTGACAGCTGGTTAACAGTCAAATCAGACCAACTGGAAAACCCCATAATCCAAACTCTCCCTGTCTCACGTTACAATATTTGCTCATATAGTACTACGTACGTTCTTGTACGTTCTACCGCACCCATAATGACCTTTAGGACAAGAGTTTTACAGCCTGATAAAGTTATCCATTTCACTCAAGCAGTCCAACAGGTCTGTCTATAAATAGGAGAAAAAACTAAATCTAACACGCAAGCATGACTTAATGTGATAAAATAACAAACTTAGTGACACCGTGTGCAGTCATGGCTAAAATACTACAACAAGAATTGTTTCAGGGCTTCCTCTATGTCTATTGAACAGTGGTCACCACGGACCTGTTCCTCTATTATAGATATTAAACATCTGAAAGTGTCTCCACCTGCTGGTGGTGCTAGACTAATGATTAAACAACACTGAAGTTTAAGTGCTAAACCCATCGACCACTTCTGCTGAAATTTGCTTTATTTTGGTCATAATGTAAGGTACAGATTTTTTTAGTGACATCCAGATTCATTAATTCATTCAACCAATCACAGGAAGAGTTCCTGTTGCGCCATCACATTGCTAGGTAAAGGTTGAACAAACAGTTCCTTCAGCTGATCCATCACTATGTGTGCTAACAAATGAGTGGAACCTCACACACATTTCAAAATAACAAAAGGCATTTTTGCCTCAATGGACTTTTCTGTTTTTAAATCCTCCTTAAAACCCTACAGCATGTGACAAAAATTTTAGGAAATTATAAACTTTTTTTTAAATTCATATAGTTACAAATATACAGACTACACATGAATTGCTCATTTTTACCTGAAGTAAACCTGAAATACACAGTACATACAGCACAAAGAAAGCTGTGTAGGATGGAAAGCCATGACCTGGTTTGAAACACTCACACTGCTGTAGGGGAGATACAAGATTACAAAGCTTCCTGTGACTGTGAGAGTGTAAATGACGGAAGTGCTGTTTTGTAAAAGTGGACGTGACATGACTTGTTGATTCACCAGTTTGTAACTCACACACACCGTTTGTTTAAGTTTCATCCTGTTTCAGCACTTGAAGACAGAGACAGGAAAAAAAAAAACTTACATTTCCTTTGGCAACAAAATGAGACACTCTCTTCTTCTGACCGGGAAGGGGAGCGGACAATGTGCCCTCAGTGCTTCTGTCTTCCTCTGACTCCCTGAGAGGCTGAGAAGAAACAACACAACAAGTTAATTTAATGAAACTAATAACTGTCTAATCAATGTGGTAGAACCTGTGGTTACACCTGTTTAGTTTGCCTGCCCTTATCTTCCTTCTTCACATCCTTGGATTCATTGAAGATCCGCAAACACTCTTCCATCGGGTCCGACTCAAAGTCCAGATCATCCTGAAAACCAGACAAGTCGATTTCCACTTCGTCAAGCTCATCCTTTACTTGAGCGCCGTCGTCCACGCCGCAGTCTCCCTCGTAGTCTGAGGAGGAGGGTGTCAGCTCCGATGCTTTCCTCTTTTTCAGACTTCCTCTCTTTAAAGCATCGGCTGATTTTCTCACCAAAACCTCCTCTACCTCCTCGTCGCTGTCATCCACCACTATCGGCTCAGCCTCATCTGGACTTTCATCTCCAAACAAGTCGGCGTGGCTCAGACTCAGATGTGGACGTTTTTTCTCGGGTCTTCTCTCTTTTGTTAGGCTGTAGCTCTGCTTCGTCTTACTGCTGTTGGCAGAACTTCCTTTACTGGAGCTGCTCTTGGTCTCACTGTGACAACTGCTTTTACTCACCCTCTTGACATCCCTGTCTCTTTTACTACTATCAAGTGTGCCATTTTTAAGTTGGTGGTCTTTATATTTATTCTTTTCCTTTTCCCTGTCTGTTTTGAGTTTCTTGAATTCTTTTGCACAATTCTCAGTTTCTCTCTCTCGTTTGCTCGAGTCTATTTTCATTTTTTCTCCTGACCTGATCTTCACATCTCGTCCCACCATGTGAATTTTATCACGCGCCTTTTCCTTCACCTTGTTTTCTCTATCATCTCTCCTCTCCAGACTCTTGTTCTCCTTTTTTGCAGACTCCTGCTTCAAGGTTTTTATAGAACCCTTGCTGCTGCTGTGACTGCTCTTGGAAATGAAGGTTTTGTTCGCATCTTTAGACAGTTTATGGATTTGATCAGATTTAACATTGTTCTCATGACTAGCATGACTGGCCACCTTCGTCTTCTTCTCTATACTTTTATGTTTCACAGTCACTTCCTGAATGTCCGAGTCCTGTCCTGAATCCTCTTTATTCCTCTGTGTCAGGGCATTCGGCACACATTCTTTTTTGTCCTTTCTCTCCCTTGAAAAAGCAACTCCAGCTGAAGCCATGTTGGCTTTCCTCTGTTGGAGATTACTGAGGGACGTGGGTCGGTACTCTGTGCCAGAGCTCTCCTCATCAGACTCAGAGAAAGTGTATTTTTTGGTGTCCACAGTAGACTGCTGCGGATTCTTCACATCCACACACTCCTCATCTGACAATTCATACGTGGGCACTTTGTGTGTCCTGCTCTTGTTTGCCTTTAGAGCAGAGTTCACCTGATTTCTCTTGCTTTTCGTAGTGATCCCCGCTGAGTAGTTAGAAAGGGGGTCATATTCCATGTCAGTAGATGGTTTTGAATTATCCAATGTGTATTTGCACTTGAAAGATAACGTGCTATTTGACCTGTTTGGACTGATAGGTGGAGACGAAGGTTTGGGAGCGTGCGTCTGAGCAGAAGGCTTTTTCAGAGAAGTAGGAACATATTCCATTGAGTTACTGTTATTCTCCTCAGAGCCTGAATCCAAAGTGTACTTACTACAACCTGGGGTTGGATTATAACCTCCTGATGTAATTTGATAACTCCCGGGATCATAGGCCTGGTGAGAAGTGGCTGTTTTGTTTTTGTCAGACAAATGTGAGCTGCTTTTTTTCTCCCTGGGAGTGTAGGGCTCATCCCCAATTTGACAGAGCTTCTTCTGCTCCCTCTCCACCTCACTGCGGACCTCCTCAATGGCTCTGTTGACCAACTCCAGAGCACCGCTGAAATCTCCCGGGGCAGGCGACTTTCCATCATGCTGGTCCTGTGGCTTCACCACTTCTGGGTTGAAGGGATCGTAACCTTGTTCTGTCGGGATACAAGACAATCAGTCAAAACAAAACAAAACAACAAGGCTGCTCCAAGGCTGTTTTACTGATTGTTTCTGTGAAACATTCCATCAAATATTCTTGCTTTAGACTTTAGGCTTTGAGACAACCGTAGGTACAAAATGAGCATAAGAAACAGAAATGTAATTTAAACAATTGTTGGTATTTGATAAACAGTTTTCTTCATGTCTTGCATTTATGGTTAAGGCTACTTAACTATGAATAAGCTAACATACATGCTTCCAAATCTACATCAGTGGTGTGATGCTATATTGAATGTACCATTAAGAATAAATCTATTTAAGACATGGGATCTTTGCAAATTCTACAAAATGAGACTCAATTTTACACCAATGTTCCGACCAAAGTTTCTTTTTCTTTCATAAAGCTAACCATGCAGAAATGGTCAATAAACGGGAGAAAGAGTCGAACTTTAAATGTGAAATAACTGACATCAAAGACAACAAATGACTCGTCCTGTTCCTTTCAGACCGTTTGTCTTCATACAACTCATGCATTATAGTTTACAATCAGTTTATCTAACACATATCCTGTCATTTTGAACAGTTGACGCACACACATCAGCTGCATCCCCTGCAGATGTTTGAACTGTGTCAATGTGGCCAAAATGACTGGTAGCAAAAAAGACAGATAGCAGAATCTCATTGACACAATTAAAAGTTAGCACCTTTGTTTGCTGAGTGGATGTCTCTTTGCTTTTTAACGTCTACTGGAGCTCCGTAAGACGCTCGCCTCTGCTTGCTGTGTCTGAAGTGACAGTACGGTCTATTACAGCCGTTCCTGTCGCCTTTGCCCTCGCTGTACTCGGCGTAAAACGGGCAGTCAATGCCACGAAAGTAGCCGGTGGACCGTAACATTGTCTCCGTGTGTTGCTCTCATGCCCGCGCGAACTCAGTTGTCCGTCTGACTGCGTAGTTTTCGTCGTACTGCCGGAGCTTTAAACAGAACGTCGGAACAATAACATCGCCCCTATGGTGCCATGTTGGATTGACCAGAGATCGCGGTAAATCTCGCGTGAAATTAGACGAACTTCCTTCTCTGACGTCATTAAAGTAGCGTATGTGGACATGTTGCTCAGAAATGATGGTTCAGTGACAATACATGTTATGGATACGACTTAACGTTCAGAACTTTTTTATAAAAAATGAATAAATAAAAAAAAAGCTCACTTAAAACCCCCCCAGTATGGTTTCTGTACAATTTACAAGATGTTCTGACGTGTGTTAACGCTAAGCTCATTATCAGTGGCTCAGGTTTTCACATTAAATAAAGAGACAGGGTTTTCAGTGGTTTTATTTTGAAGAACACAGAAGAGCACTAGACCTGCAAATCAGCAGTACCGCTCGATTGGGTTTAAACAACGTTTGAGAGGCTGAAGACAGAACAAACATCCACTTGTCTTTGTTCTCCATTAGATAAGTATCAGTAGTAAGAGAGAACATGCAGCCCATGTGCTCTGGGGAAAAAAAAAAGTTGTTTGACAATTGCATCAGCTGCTTTGAATGACTTGTTCCTTTCAAAGCAACTATGTTGAAAGCACATAAAAAATTTTTTGACTCAGTTTAGGCTACCCAAAGGTGTCACGTTGTTTGTTGGCACCAGGAGGCAGTGAGGAGCAGGTTTAGTTACCCCATGTGCTCTGGGGAAAAAAAAAAGTTGTTTGACAATTGCATCAGCTGCTTTGAATGACTTGTTCCTTTCAAAGCAACTATGTTGAAAGCACATAAAAAAAATTGACTCAGTTTAGGCTACCCAGAAGTGTCACGTTAAGTTGTTTGTTGGCACCAGGAGGCGGTGAGGAGCAGGTTTAGTTAATGCAATGTTTTTTTCAAAGGGAAACTTTCATCTTCAGTTGCTGCTTTGGTTGGCTGCAGACTGCAAACAGAAACATTTCTTTGCCCCCAAGTTGTAAGTATTTCAGCAGCACAGGCATAATCGGTTTGTTGGATGACCACAGCCCATCAGAGATTGCTTAATTTCACACTAGGCCATTATGGATGTCCAGTCTGACAATGTGGACCCCACAAAGACATCAGCAACTCCTGCAGAGGCCCTGCTAAAACAGGACAAAGAGGCCAATGTTGAAAGCCAAATGCATATCCAGGAAAATGAAACAAAAATCAATGATCAATCAAAACTGAAAGCCAAATGCATATCCAGGAAAATCACTGATCAAACATTTTCATCTTAAAAACTAACCCAAACTAACCCATACAGTTGACAGTGATAAATAAAAGAAATCACTTCTAGGCCTTCAAGCCAAATCTAAAGTAATATCTCCAGCTAAACCAGTCACACGTCATCATTAAAGAAACATTTTAAATGTTCCAGCTACATAATCATCGGAATATCTCATTACTGCTTTCAAATGTAACAACCCAACTCACCTTCAGAAGCTTCTTAACCCTCATGCGTACACACACCCCGGCTTTTTGTGTCCTACTCTAATAGATCAGCCAATCAGGTTCCTCAATCATCATTACCTTCAGGTGTTGGGAAGTCAGAAAGAGGAGAATGTTTGCGTGCACAAATGCAGTGAGTTTGCGTATCCCAAATTTATTGAATATATTTTTTATTGTCATAGACCATGCATATCTAAAATGTTGCTGTAGTTTTTTTCTTAAACTGTGTCTTGCCAGCTTTTAAAAATACCTCACTTAGATATTTTAGGGTTATTGGGGATAATCTATGTGATAATAACACCAATTTTTCAGGCCTCTCTCATGTTCCTTTAAATATATCCAGGAATCATCCAGGAAAAAACAATGAATCTTAACCACTGTGGGGATTTATAAAATACGTCACAACAGAACATGTTATTCTACGTGCAACGATACAAAATGTCCAGCAGGCGGCGACATAAACCTGTGAAGTGACATGGTTGTTGCACTACAAAAACACCCTAACGTTGCATCATTTGATTTCCTCCCATCGTCACTTTAGGCCATCCTCAAATAGAACTTCCGCAAAAAGTCATTTAGATCCTGTCTTTTTCTTTTCTCTGTCTTTTCACCTCGTTTCTTCCGGAATTGCAGTGGATGAATGTAATAAGGGTCAAGAAAGGAGGATGAATGAATTGAATTGGAGGTGTTTTTCTTTCTTCTTCTTCAAAGTAGCACCTTCCACTTTAAATTCTTCCTTCAGCAAACCATAACAGTCAGCTGACTCAGTTGTTGATCTTATATGCTGGCGTCTCCATTCAACAGAATTCGTCTTGTATCAGCTGACAGTCTGCCGTGACACATACAGTAGCTGTAGCTCTTGCAGCAGGTTGCATCAGTCGTCACAGGTCAGGCCTGACTTGCTGTTTGCAGCGCCCCCCCTCTCCCGGCCCCCCGCAGATACACAAGCAGCACAAGGTGAATCTGCAGTCACATTTCAGAGTGTGTGAGCAGACGACGTGAGCTCAGACTCCCCAAGGACGTGTGTGACATCGGCAGCTGAGATATGTGGGAGCGGTACTGATAGAAGGATTTACGGCACTGACTCACGTGAAATGGTCCCAGCCTTGTCCAGGTGATAAGATGGCTGGTTAATATCCAACTAGTGATGCAGCGGGCAGCTCATATCTGCTGTTTTCAGCCCCCCCCCTCACACACACACACACACAGAAGCAGATGTAGTTTGAGACATTTTTATTGCGTTTTCTTAAGAAAAACAATACAAAAATTTTAAGCAACTGTCATAAATGTTGCCTTGAGTGAACTGCAATCATTCACGCGGTACAGTAAAGTGCTTATTATAAATCAAAAAAATATTTTTTTTTGTACTTAAAAGGATGCATTTGTTTCAGATTTCTTACTTAGGAGAACATTGATGCGGGGTCGATCCTGATGGTGTTATATATCAATTTAGACACCAGGTCTACAAATAGAAACATTAGATAACACATCAGCTCAGCATTGGTGGACTCTTAAGTACTTTTGCCTTTGGGCTACATTCAAATTATGGGCTGGTTAATTAATCTGTCCATTTAAATGATGAATTTCAATAATTCCACAGAAGGACAAACAATACAAAGTCGTATCATTTTTTTTTAAACCAGAAAAGGCAGTCGTTTAAAAAAAAGTTACTGCACTTTGGAAAAAGTAGAAATGGTCATGACCAAGTTAACTCTCATATCGCCTGGGATATTGTAGAGTATGGCCGTAAGGTGTGCGTTTTCTGAGTATCCAACCCTATCAAAAAGCTAGGGAAAATGTCTGATCCTCAAAATTGGAACCAGGAAAAAGAAAAGGCAGAATACTGAAGTGTACAAGTATTTTTTTTTTTCAAAACCCCAAGATTGCCTTGATCTTTAGCTTAATGCTTTGAGATTACTGAGAGATAAGAAGTTTCCCAAAATGTAGAAGAAACAGCTGCATAAACATATTCAAGTAAGTCTTATTATAAGACATAAACCCCACGAAGATTTGTAGAAGGTTTTTTTTTGTTTGTGAAGTATTACAGTGCCCTGTTCTCAGCATAACGGGTCCTTAGACACCATTTCCAGAGTACCGCTGTCGCAGTGCTGGCAACAGGACATGGACAATCAGAAGTGACTCACTTCTCACTGCTAGGTGACAAATCATGTGTGATCATGTGTGATCGTGTGTATGTGTGTGTGATGTCATGACTCGAACCCTCTTTGGTGAAATGGCTACAGTGTTGTGAGACCACCTCATCACCAGCCCATTACCGGTCAGTGTCAGAATGAACTTTAACTTAATCTGAACAACAATAGAAGGTGCGACTTTTACAAAAAAAAAACAAAAAAACAAACAAACAAACAAAAAAAAAAAAAACTTGCCTTCACTGGGCATGAACGCTCCAGATCAAATAAACAAACACTTTCCATTCTCTCTTCCTTTGTCTTACTCTCACCACATACTCTGACTTGTAAAAAAATAGAACATAAAAAAAGAAAACATCTGGTGTTTCACCTGATCTGAACAGCACCTGCATGAAAGTCACCATATAGAAAAGAAAAGCTTATTAACAGCTGTTCAAAAAAAAGAAAAAAAACAGTGTGGCACATTGTCATGGAGTTTTAAAACATCAAAAAAAAAAAAGTCAACTTAAAACAGCTACATACGAGGAAGACGTTTTTTTTTTGTTTTTCTTTATGTGGAATGCTTTCCTTTTTTTAACGTTTCTTTTTTTCTTTTTTAAAATCATGCCTCTTTTGTCAAGAGAGCTCTAAATTTGAAACGGGTTGGTCTCATCAGGAAAAAGGAGACTCCGTAAAAACCCTGGAAAAAAAGTGTTTTCTGATCAATTAAATAACATTGACCAAAATGTGCTTTTCAGCCCCTTGAAAGGAGCGTTTCCTTTTACTGTCAAAATGTGTCAAAAGTCAAATATATGATGCATATTATGACTGGTAGAAAAAAAAACTACAAAAGACCAAAGGGAACAAAAAAAAAATACAAGATATCTTTGCATTTAGGGGATAAAATGCTTTCCGAAAAAAACCAAAAAAAAAAACCACATGAATGAGTTTGACTTTCTTAGTCATATAATCAGCCTGTACCTACATCCCAGATATACTTCAGAGCAAACCTGGAAGTTTTTCTTTTTCGGCAGCCATGCATCATGACCCAAGTGAGATTGACGAGAACGACGTCAGTCGCCAAATTGTGTCTTAAACACTGACTATGTGGTCACTGATAATTTGGCAAATTTTCAAATAACATACTGTATGAATTGGTGCCACAGTAAATTAAAGCAGTTTGGAAACAAACACTCTTTGTTTTGGGAGCATTAATTCCCACAATGAAGAGTGAATTTTTAAATCAGATGTTTACATGATTGGCTTAAAAAAAAATCCTCAATGAAGGAAAAAAAAGTAATTTTTTTTTTTGCATGTCCCCCAGCCACATAATGGACCACAGTAGGCACGGAGAGCATTGGCCTCCAGCCCTTCTAACGATGACAGGAACAGCCTTCACCATGGTATATTGCATAAGCTTGTGCGAATCTGAGTGTGGGCCATTCATGCATACACATACAGACAAAGAGAACATTCCAGATAACTTAATTCACAGTGGATCCAGTTGTAACACGAAAGCAGCACAACAGGTTGTCCTTTGGTGTCTGAGCTTAAATGTAAAGATAAAAGTTTCTGATTTCTGTTTAACACCATTGAATGGAAAAAAAGAACATAACTTAGAAAAAATACTTCTGTCACTTTCTTTCTCTCTCTCTCTCTCTCTTTCGTTCTCTCTCTCTTACATCATAATTGGCCCTACTCCCCAACCTGGACCTGCACGTGTGTGTCTGCTGTATGCGCGTCCAGGGATAATGTGCTTCAGAAGTGCTGCAGAAGGGCAGAAGGCATTTAGAGGAAGTGCTGTGGGCAGCATCTTCCTTTACAGTGAGGCAATGGAGCCTGAATGGCAGAGGGATCAAGGCCAGCTAGAGTGAGAGAGAGTGTCCAGAACTGAGGAGGGGTAGCTCAGGCCAGTCTGAGATCTGGACACCAATCATAACGGAAGGTCAGGAGGTCGGGGTTGACTGGGTCAGGCACAGTCTCCCACTATCACCAGAGGGGCCAGGAGCTGACGAAGCTCTGCGGCAGAGACGGGACCTCCCTTGGGCTGGCTGTTCCTCTGCCTGCGTCGAGCGAGCTTGGAGTTGGAGGGAGGAGAGAGGCGCATGGAAGAGCCAGCAGCAGTTACGACAAACGGCTCCTCCTGCTGCTGCTGCTCTTCCATGCCGTCCTGTTCAGCCAGCTGCCGGTTCACAGCCATGGCCTTGTCAGCAAATAACGTCAGGTCCCTTGCACTGCTGGTTCTAATGGACGAGAACAGAAGATAGAATTCAGAATGCATAAATAACAGTATATACACAAGAGGTCACACTGTCTGAGTGAATATTTATATTCACTTCAGTGTATTCTCACCGTTGATGCAGTTTTGATGTTGGTAAAGTGTCAGACACACCCTGAATGTTACAGAAAAAAAAAAGAATTAATTCCTATAAATGTAAACTTCAGGTGGAATTAAAGCAACTTTTATTTGACACTGAAATCACTTACCCCCTGCACCCAGGGATGCTGCAGCACCTGGCTCGCACTCAGACGGCTTTTAGCGTCCCGAACCAGAAGTTTGGATATTAGATTTTTGGCACTTGAGGAGATGTGAGCCCAGTCCTTTTCTGGAAACTCATATTTGCCTTCCTGGATGCTTTCAAATAAATAATTCTGTGGGGGGAAAAAAGGATGTTTTATATTAGTTTTGACAACCCCGACTGAACACAGCACAGACCAGCTGACTGAGCAAACAAGGGTACTGTGTTTTTGTTTTTTTTACCTGACAGGTGTGACATGGTTCCCCCAACTCCCAGCCACAGTCACCTCCACAGCGGCCAACGAACGGAGGATACCCACTCAGCATGATATACAGGATGACACCAAGGCTCCACAAGTCACAGCGCTTGTCGTAGATCGTAGCCTCCTCACTAAAGGCCTCCACCACTTCAGGCGCCATGTATTCTGCTGAGCCACACTGTGAAGAACAAGATGTGTTTTTGTCCTCAATCATTGTGACTTAAAAAAAAAAAAAGAAAAAAAAAAGAGAGAAAATGGGGCAAAAAACTTCAACGTTGAATTCTTTCTTTCAGCTTAAATCACATGATTTCACATGCTAACGTCTACTTTTAGGTCTACCCGTGTGAAAGCCACATGCTGAGGTGCAGAGCTATTTCAGCCAAAGACACCTCTGCAACAGCGACATTGTGTGAGAAGAGGCGATGATGACGCAGGTTAGTGGTGAGGGAGCAGCAGACAGACACCGCTCTGCTCACCCAGCTGTACACAGATCAGTTATACAGGCTGCTAGAGTCAGGGCTACAGCTCTGACGATGCCGTGTTATGTAGCTCAGGAGGAAATAAAAAGAACGCTGAGCAGAGAAGCCGATTGGCCGACATTCAGAGACTCTTCGAGTCTTTGCCCATTACGTAACTTCAAATCAACCCTATCATACTGTGTGTTGGTTTAAAAAAAAAAAAAAAAAAGCTGTTACACAAATTTAAGTGTTTTACAATTTTTCTCTCTTAATCATTCTCCTGTTGAACCCTCTTGTTTTAAAAAAAAAAAAAAAAAAAGAGCTGTTACACGAATTTAAGTGTGTTACAATTTTTCTCTCTAAACCATTCTCCTGTTGAACCCTCTTGTTCCATCTTTCAGTGCACAGGAATGTTTACATCGAGCAGGCACCTATTGTGCCCTTGTACCAGATCCCAGCTGTCTGCTGACTCCTCCCCCTCCTCACCCTTATGCAATGCCATTTTCTGCATAGGAATCTCAGACAAAGCTGCTTCTGTCAGAGAAAAGACCCCAACCCCCATGTTACCAACAACAACAACAACATCATGTCTCGACTGCAGGGACCAGCTCCAGGATTGAGGTCAAACACAGCTGTCCCTCTCACATATACACAGACACTATGTTTTTGCCTCATTGTGTGGGCATAAAAAAAAAAAAAAAAAAAAAAAAACAACAACAGTGTGGTGGTTGTTTTTTTTTAACTATTGTAGACAAGAGCAAATAAGAGAAGAGTTCAGAACCTTCTTTAAAAAAAAGAAAAAGAAAAAAAGACTTGTTGTTCCTTGTCTGCTGCAGTCATGATAGTATAGTAAAATGGAATTTTCAGAGCACAAAGTAAAAGAACAACACCCATCATTGTTCCATGAAAAATGTGCCCAAACTGACCACAGACACAGCTTAAATACAACCCCCATTGTTTACTTAAGAACACCCAACATCTTTGGTTCTTGCAATGAGTCCCAACCTGAAGCAAAACTGCTGAGGCTGTTGACAGATTACCAGCTGCCACCACCACAACAGTGTGTGGTATTCTAACCCGGGGCTTTCCTGCAATCATGTGACTGGCAGACCATACTGACGACACACACCTATGTACTCAGTTACTCAGTAAACTGTAGGATTATCACCTCCAGAGGCTCATGGGAAACAATCAACCTGTTCTGTCATGTACCTCTATCCAACATTTACAAAATCACCAAAGTGCCTGGAATACTTTAAGTCGTCTCATTACTATCTTCATGCTAAAAGTCCTAAGATAGCTCACAGATGCTACATGTGAGCAGCGACATGTGTAAAGATTTAATTTACATCGTGCTGGCAACGTGAGTGTGCAGTCATTTGTGCCGAGTTCTCTGAAACTAAAATTAGCTTTTTCTTAGAAAGGTGCTTCTCATTTTTCCCCCAGTATTCCAGATGTTTGGTGACCAGGGAGCAGCTTAAAACATGGCATCAGGCCCTTAAGCAATTAATGCAATGCCACATGGTATTGTGCAACAAGTGTAGGAATGTGTGTAAAGAAGAGAGCAGGGTGAAAAGCCAACAGTCAGTTCAAAATCAGATAACATTGTTCCTGCGAGACGGAAAGAAAAAAAAAAAAAAAGAAAACAAGCCGAGCGCATGAGCAGACTGGAGTGCTTTGCCCTCCCAGTTGCCCTCCCCCTCCCACTGCTCAGCCAATCATATCTCAGTTGCTAGGTATGGGGGAGGGGGCCAAAAAATTTCCAGAACAAGCTGTATGCACAGCCTTTGTATATAGAGCATAAAGAAAGTGCAGGCTTGCTCCGTCTGTGGTTGGGGCCACAGGGGGGGAGACTAAACAAAAAAAAAGGTTTTTTTTTGCTGATTTTCATACCACAGAAGGAAAATGGAATGGAGTACGAGTGTGTTTTGGTTTCACTATAATTTCTTCATACCACAGGACGTGGCTTTGTTAATGTAAAAATGTCTCTCATGCAGTCTCGCTACATTCCAAAGCTAACGCAGAATTTCCTGTCTCCAAGGGCAACTTTTTGTCCACACAACACCATGACTTCCTAAAAGATCATCCACCGCACCAGACAGACAGGTTCAGGACGAGCTTCTAAAATACACTCAAACCCAACACGTGAGGCTCAAAAATACTCTCCTTCAAATAGAAAAAAAAAGGGATCGGCTCTCTGTCTGCAAGTTCCACGAAAGGAAGATGAAGTTACCAGTCTAGGAAAACCCCCACCCACCACTGTGGGGTAAAGCACACTCCCTCACCTGCTCGGTTCAGTCTATCTCGTTCAAAGAAACAACCGGACAACATGTGTTGACAAAACTAAAACATTTGCCAGTTTAACGTTATCACTTATCTCACAGTTGAAAAGCACTCTGTGTTTCTGGCAGCTGTTCAGAGAATTTGTCACATCAGTCAGAAGGTTAAATACTAATGACCCTGAAAACTCACGGGTTTGAATATTTGCTTTAGATAAGCACAGAGATGTGGACGTCAAACTGAGGGGAAAGTATTACTGATAGCTAAGGATGAACGCTACCAGACGGGGACACTGAAAGAGCGAGCCATGTGATATTTTGGTTAAACTCAGCAATGACGAACACTGGACTGTAAAACACAGATTTATTTCTCTCTACCAATCAGTGAGAGTTACGACGCTAGTGCCACTGAAAACCACCCAATGGCAAACAACCCAGCGGACTTCATACTGATTGTTTTACAGCCTACGAGCAGCGTTCTTATCAATGACCTCAGGAGGAAAAATAAAGGTGTTGAGAAATGTGACTAAGGCTATCATTTTACGACCAGAAAATATCAGCTGTTTTCTAGTGTGACAAAACAATTCAGCGTTTCCTTACGGACATTTTATAAACTGCTATGAATGAACAGCAGATAATAGGCGTATGAGACTTACAGGAGTGAGAAGCTCGGGGGTGGAGATGGGTGAGCTGTCGCTGTTCAATTTGATCCCACTGCCCAGGTCAAAATCACAGATCTTGACTGGGGAAATCTGGAAAAGAAAGAAAAACATCATTACTCATTTGTGTAAAGTTTCAGCTTAAGGGAATGTATGTGGTATTTTTGTGACTATGACTAAGGTTCATATTATAGTCCCAGATTTTATCTGCATATTTAGTGCCCTTTGAACCATTTGGACAAAGGTGTGGCTGCAATAAACTCACCTTGTCTGCACTCTCACAGAGAATGTTTTCAGGCTTCAGGTCCCTATGCGCCATTCCTGTGAAAATAAGATACATTTAACTCTGTGGATAGAGAACATGTGCACAGTAGTTTTGATGAAATCTTTTAGGATTGTTGCCATCCCTGGCTGTCGTACAGGTTGGTTTCCTATTTTATACGGGTGGCCTTACCCTTGTTGTGCAGGAAATCAAGAGCACTGGCAATGTCCTGCACCACATCACAGGCTTCCTGCTCACTGAAGTGCTGCCTCTTGTGAATCTGAGCTAAGACTGAGCCTTAATGGGGAAAAACAGCAAATAAACAACATTAGCATTACAAAAAAGTTGGCAGACCAAGAATAACTGAAAAGCAATCAGTACAAAATTAAATATTTTTAAAATTACCTCCTCTTAGCTTTTCAAACACCAGGTAGAATTTGTCTTCCTCTTCAAAGAACTCCACCAGCTCCAGAATGTTCCTTTAATATAAAGAGCCATTTGATGTATAGGGTAGAATGCCAGGGTATAAAAGACAACAAAGCAAGCGGCTGTGCAAATGATTCATCAGTAATTGTTGCGTGTCAATATGATTACCTGTGTCCCTGGCACTGGTAGAGCATTTCAACCTCACGGAAGACACGGCTGCGGCTGTGACCTGGTCTTTTCTCGATGATCTGGAATTGAACAATGCATTGACTTAGTCCAGCATTTCAAACTGGGCCACTAAACAAACATGAAGCTCAAATATGTTTGTGCAGTGAATGGTGATTAAAAAAACAAAACAAATAAAATAATGCAGCCTTTGTTCTGGAGTTTATAGTTGAGTGAAGGCCACCCCGATACACTGTACCGCAAAACCTTGCCTGTGGCAATGTTTAAAGAAATCTACTGGCACAAGAACTCCCTGATGTTTACTGTTGAGCAGGCAGTGTACCCAAAATTACATAGTCCATATGCAGTGCCCTATAACTGGTTCCAGACCAAACCAGCATTTTTTCCTGCTTGCTAACATTTGTCACACCCAGTGACACAGTTGCAGTGATAGCATAACCTACTTTCATTGCTGCCTGCCAAAGCAGCAACACAACAAAATGAGCATCACACAAGAACACTGGCTCTATATTTAGCCATTGCATGTGCCCTATATGCAAGTGCTCTCACACAACTTACTTCATGAGCCAAAGCTAAACTTTTGCCAAAGCACAATACTCTCTAAATTTAACTGCGCCACTAGAGGGGTCACTCTCTTTGAGAAGGGTCTGTTTAAGGACAGAAAGAAAGACTGCTGACTCCAAAGTAAAAGGACTGGGTTCTGCAGCCCCTGGTGGTCATTGTCTGTATGGGAAGCTGTGTGTGTGTGTTTATCCCCCTGGTAGCTGGATTACAGCTGCCACTGAAGCTTGGTGGGGCCAACTCTAGTGTGTGACTATGATTTATACACAGACAAGAGACCTGGGGGGAGAAAAAGTCTGTGCTGTGTTCCAGGCTGAGTCAGCAGCAACTGCAACTGTTAATCATCCCACTTTCTTCAACTCAAAACACCAACAACCTGATAATCACGTGCAGATTATCAATCTGAACAGAAGACAGTTATTTACCCCACCATATCATCCAAGTTTTTTTTCCAAAACCTAAATCAAAACAATCACCAAGTGACATAGCAGGTTCAAACATCAACCCAATGTTGTGAAATAATTCACTAGCAGAAAATGAGTGCCTCTTGAACCTTGCAGACATGTGTGCACCCTGCCCTGGGCTGAGCCTTTGGTGCTGTGGCTGTTGTTGAGATTGCAACACAAGGAGCCCACACATATAGCTCCGCCTGACAGTAGGGGGGAGGGTAGACGCAGAGGACATCTGGCAGGCGATGTCTGAACCTCACCAACTCACAAATGACCCCCCAATAACGGCAGACCCCGTTATTCCACCCCTGCCCCCGTGCAGAATTACACAGCCTCTGGAGATCAACAAAGACGTCCCAGGACAAACAGAATCAATGGACCGTAGTCACATTAGAGAACCTGGGTTTTTATTAATGTGAAATACTAACTGCAAAGAGACAATCAAGTAATATGAGCATGTTAGGCTAAAGTCTAAAGCTATGCTTCATTATTCAACATAGATAACAGGGAGTTCAAAACAGACCACACTGTGCAACAGTAGGTTAAGGCCGTTAACCTTTTGAAAAACAAGCAGTTGTTATGATTCTCTGAAAGTCAGCAGTTAAAGGTTTCATAATGTTTTTCTTCCCCAAAAAGAGGAAACGTGAATTATATTTGGGCAAAACAAGAAGATCCAAGAAGTTGTGTCATGTATGCACATGTCCACACACCACTTGAGAGAGAATAAAAAAAGTAAAACTGCACCAGGCGAGGAGAACAAAGCAGTGTAAACACCCTGGGTCACAACCCTCACCCAGCAACCTCTCCCTCCCTCCTTCCTCTCTGTGGGTTTTGTTTTGGCACAGAGGCTTGTACACAATGTTCCTATAAGAGCGACCTCTAGAGGCAAGAGGGGTAATAAAAAAGGGGGTGGGTACATCCCTCCCTGTCATCCGATAGGCTGTCGAAACACAAAAACACAGCCACTAGCTCACAGCAGCTAGTGGCGTGCATTCAGAAAAGCAAAGGAAAGGGAGGAAACGGAGTGAAGGAAGAGAGCCTCCGGACATTCACCAGAGACATTTAAGGCAGAGGAAACAGAAAAGGACGCTGGGAGTCTTTGGACAAAACCACTTTAGATTTCTAGAGGATAAACTAAAGTTTGCAATGACCTACATCCAACAGAACAGTTCTCCTCCACCCTTTTTCTTTCTAACAAAATGCAGGCACAGGGCCTGGTACTACACACAGGTCCTTTACACAATCTATGGCTCTATATATCTTCTAAATATCTCCTAAATTCTAGCCACAAACAGCAAGCCAGTGATACAAAACTGCCAAGCAAACTGTTTCCAACATGGTGATTCTTTTAAAACGGAATACAGCGTAGGTAATTAAGGTCTTACCTTTACAGCATACTCTTTGTTGGTGATGAGGTTGATACAGGTTTGCACTCTGGCAAATGCACCCTCTCCTAGCAGCTCCTCTTGCAGTCTGTAGACATCTGGTGTGAGAACATTCACAAAGTTAGCAAACACTGTACAAACATTCCCAAAATGAGGAGTACTGGCATCTAGAAAACAATTTACTTTAGTAAAATTAAAGCATTTACCTTCGAATCTCCCAGAGAAGCTGTCAGTTGCCCGGCAACGCTTTTTCTTCTTATTTCTCTTCTTGGCATCGGGGATGTCAATAGGCTGACTGGAGGGCATGTCTGTGAAAACACCAGGGTTTACATTAAAAAGTGCTGACGTGTGTCACACCCAAGCAAACCACCAGAACGCACTAAAGTTGAAAAAAACAAAATCGGGCCCAAAATTTCACCACACTATGTGTGAAAGTACGGATTTACTTTAGTTCTACCAGATTACTCCAAGTTTAGCTGGAAGTAAATTTTCAAGCAAATTAAGCCATTTAACACAGTCGCACTTACCATGTCTTGGGGAGGAATCAAAATTAAATGATGAATCAAGAAGATGGGATCCATTTTTGGTGAAGTCCTCTGATTCAAAGGGATTTTGACCCTGGTGGATGTCAATAAAAATGCTTATTGCAATCCTGATACTGGGAGCACTTAAAATTGATTAAACACTAGACTACCTTTACTTTAAAAAATAATAGATGGTAATATCTAAAGGGCTTTTCCATTTCATAAAAGGCAACATTTGGACAATTCAGTTATTGTTTAAAGTCATTCCTCCATTGGCTGCATAAACATGTGTCTTCAAACCACATGGTTAGGTTTCCAGTCATGAGATGTAGGACAGCAACAGATGTGTTTATATATAGCATAGTGAAGTCCATTGGAATACAAGACATGCTGACAACTGTGCTGTGAGTGACAAAAGACTTGCTAAGAGCCACACTCACCTTGAATGAACGGTGAAATCCAGTGACTTCGGTCATCTTATTTTGCACCATTTTGCTTCGATTTGGTTGATTGGGTTTTTTTTTTTTTTGGTTGGTGTGAAGCGGCGGCAGTGGATTTTAATATGGGAGTATCAATTTGCACTGCTCCAAAACTAAAAGTCGTTTCAGAGGCAGTCACAAGTGATGACACTGCGCTGGGTTGGTCAGCTCGCTGCTGCGCTTTAAACGGGAGCCCTGCGGATAAAATAAATTAAAACAAAACGTTACAAACTGCAGCAAACGCCCCGTCACTGGTGGTGTTCACGGCGCTTATATACATATTATGGATTTGCGTGGGCGTGGAATGAATACACATTTAACAACAAGCAACATCACCGTAGCACAAGCTAGCGCATGTTAAACGTCCGTGGTCATTATAAACAAGCGATGGCTATCGCCAGCACCGATAATAGGGCAGCTGGAAAACTGCACACAATTTCAGAGACAAAAGTAGGTGAAACTGATAAAGACTACACGACATTTAAAATGTGTGACGCTAAGGAAGTTGCCAGAAAGTGCGTAATGGTAAAAACCCGCATTGAGCGTTCGCATTCGCTTAGTCGACGCATACACGCTCGGGAGACTTTTCGCCGTCAAACAACTAACGGTTACTTCATTCGTTACATTAGTTGAATATGACGAGAGACTCTAAAAACTTTTCTGTGAATAACATTTTGGTGTCGCTGAGAAATGGAAGACGAAAACATGCGTATGTGGGAAATAAATGCAATTTTCGATAACTCACCCCGTTGTTAATTTTACAGCTCCAGTGTTAGCGTCTTGTTTTACCCACTGCTTCGACAGCCGCAGAGGACAGTCCAGGGAGATATCGCCTGATTGTAAGTGAGTGGAAGGTGACGAAGCTAGAACAGCGTGGGTGCTATTATAACCTCCACGCAGACTCCGCCTCCTTTCAGATAGACTACGTCAACAGACGCGGAGGGATCAAGTGTTTTCTAGAAAATACTCGACGGCCACGTCCCGCTTCGTTCAGACCCTCTTCACGCGTTCCTGTTTCGCAAAGCAAAAAAGATACACACGACGTTTTGACGTTGTCACAAAGGAATGATGTTTAAAACGTTCGAGTTGGTGTTGGTGTAACCTCTAACGGGAGTCGGAGCGAATGTTAGAAGCACTTTCCGATTACACGATCAGCAGTAAGAGCGAAATGGAATGCGGCCGCTGGGGCCTATTTTGTTTCACAGGATACACTATGGGACGCGGAGGGGAGGGGTAATGGGCAGAGTACGTGCACACGAGCACTGTTGGCTGTTCTGATGAAAGAGGCGTGAAAATTTCGGTAGTTGAACAACATGTAGACAAACCAGACCCACAAGGATTACAGAAAAAGGTGTACTGCTGCAACAACCTCACCACCACCACCAAAAAAACCCCAAAACATCCTTTGACAAAAGAACAACTGCGCTGCACGTTTGTTCAAAACAAACACACAGCGCAGTAGTAGACAAACCTCGAACACATCCCTGTCTCTGTGCATCATAAAGACGAGGGAATCTTTGCATTTACAATGTCCTCAACTTTTACCCTGTGATTGATGACTAAGGACAGATGGAGTTTCAAAGAGAACCACTCACTGCATGCATCTTCTCACGCACTGCACGACTTCAGTACTACGTCATAAACGTAAACAAACCCAAACCTTTGGTTTTTAGAAAGAACACCAAAGATAAGGGCACATGGCACTACGACAAAGGGACAGAGCCGGGCTTTTCAAAACTTGCGCAGGGGCCAAAATGTTTGATTATTTATCTATCTATTATTATATCTATTATTATGTATGTACAAAACTGTGTAAAAAAATCTACCCCTGAAAGACACTTCATTTAGATTGAGGACAAGGCAAAACAGGAGTAAAAGGACATTTCCTGAAAGACACTTCATTTAGATTGAGGGCAAGGCAAAACAGGAGTAAAAGTGTCAGTACAGTTTCTTAATAAGTGAGTGAAATAGTACCAGATATGGTGCCAAGGAGAAGAAGTGTTACGTGTGGCCTCATTAGAGCCTTACCACAGCAGTGGTACACTTTGTGATTTGGCAGTTTTTACTCCAGATGCCCTTCCTGGTGCAACCCAACCCGGGATGGGTGAATAGTTGGAACCCAACTAGAACCATCTGCATGGCGATGTTTGTGAGTGATAGTCCACTTTCTAGATGCACTCAATAGTTATAGGAAGATACATAATTTAAAATATGATTACCAAAAGGTACAGAAGCCAGTGCTGGGCTGGGGTCCTTCAGCGGTTATATAAAGTGGTTTGAATTTACATGTACTATTTTTGGAATATGACAGTAGAGATGCAATACATGTATACATTAACATGTGGTATTTGGTATCGTGTATGTTTACTGTCGGGGAGAGTGGGAGGTGTTTTTGCGATGTTCAGTCACACCACCGCCTCCACCATTTGTGCTGCATGGCAGAGGCACAGCTGAGCTGACACGTTTTGAAGCCTGATGATGAGTCTGTTCAGACAAGGGTGGAGACACTGTCTCATGGCTGTGATAATGAACTGAAATCCAAGAACTCTGAAGACGTAAAAAAAAACCTGTGTCCTATTGACCTTCTGCTGAATGTGAGATTCCACATGTTTGTTCAGTATTTAATGAGATGGAAGACAAAGGTGTTTTTGACCGAGGCACAGTGGAGGGGTCTTAGATCCATCACTTACATTTTGACTGTCCTCTGCATGCACCTCATGCTTAATAACACTTGTGTACTAGTAAATGTGACGCGTGCATGCTCTGTGCTATCACACGTTCATCACTGTTTTTAACCCCCACTCTGCAGTACTGTTAGGTATAGCTTTCATATATTGTTTATCAAGGGCGTCAAAATTAAAACCATGTAAGGTTTGTTTTTCGATAGAATCTGTCTTGTGACTGGAGGCCCGCTGCCTCTCCTCTTCCTACTCCTCCTTTCACCTTCTGTCCCTCAAACATAAACTTAGTGGTAGCAAACATTACGCAAGCTGCTGGCAGAGCGTCCTGTGCAGCGGGGAGCACATGGTGCGCCGAAGGTTTTAGTAGGAAAACAAGATCACACGTCAAAGTACGAAGGGGTGGGTCTGAGTTACTACAGGTCAAAAGGAAGAGAGCCAGGCTGCCGTAAATAACTTCAGGTGGCAACAACATAGTATCTGATGTTTGAGTGGCTCAATCAGGAGGAGCCCTGGGCGGTGCATTCCTCCAAAGGCACAGAAAACTGTGTCTTTCAACTGTGGTTTTTCAACACAGCATCTGAAGTTCTGAAGATAGTGTTTTTAAACGCCCTAATCTCCAAAGATCACTATGTTCGCTGATATCTGATGTCTCCAAATGCCTTGTCCCACTTTTAAACATTATTTATTGTTTTACATTATGTGTTTAAGTGTTTAAGAGGCTTTTTATTGAAAAGTTAGCCTTTATTTACTTTTTTGTTGTTGAAACTCAAGGTTTTTTTCTTATAATCTTCAGTTTAGCAGCCAAATGGTAGAAGTATAGTAAGTACTGGTTCAATCCCTACTGCTCAGGGTGTACCCCACCCTCACCCTGAGGAGGATTAAGTGCTATAAGATGCATGAATGTTCAGTTCAGTTCAGTTCAATCCAGTTCAGTTCACTTGCCAACAACTGCTTGTAGTGTACACCTCTGACATGGTTTTATTTACACCCTACCTTAATATCTGGTCCTCCGATGAATTAAGAAAGGAAATTCTGAGGTGATAAAAAATAACAATTGAGGTGGGTGTGCATATTTGTATTTTGTGCAGACAAAAAAAACATTCAAATTTGATGTTTAATTGGAAACCAAAACTAAAGGTGCATGTTGCTTTCTAACATTTTTAACAATGGCTGCTTTAAAGTAAAATATTTTGAAGCCTCAGGAAAACTACACATGGCTATAAACCAAAGCTTAAAATTAGTCAATGGCCTCAGGAAGTTTGAAGACTGTCCTGAAAAGCCTAGGAACCAGTTGGTGCTGTTTTGGAAGGAACAGAATATAAACAGTTCAGCTCAACTGCTACAGCAAGTGCAGGCAAAACGTGAGCAGACACAGCTGCACGTGCAGTTGTATCCATTAAATAAAGCCGAGCTACCCTGAATAAAACTATCAAAGACACCAAGGAGACAAATGTCCCTGAAGCAGCCAGGAGTCTCACATCCTTCCAGTATGAAGGTTACAGTGACCTCTGGCTGCTGATTCTACCTTTTTTCCCCCCAAGAATCCTTCCCCAAGCAAAAATTCCCAGAGCACACTGGCCTCCAATAAGGAAAAACCTCATGCAAAAGAGCGCCAGTACTTTAAATATTACAGGACAAAGGCTGCCAACAGAATCACTGGAATTTATTCCAGATCCAGTAAAATCCTCAAATGCAGAATATATTGCCAACGATTGTGAAAGTGGTTTTTGTTTTGTTCCACTTGCTCTTGAAAACAATGTGCTGTTTTTTCCCCACTGGGCTGTACTGCTGTTATGTAAGCACATGAAGTATGCAAGTGTAATGGACAGTGACTTTAAATTCTCAGAAACGTCATTCTGCTTTGGCATCACCTGAGCAGTCAGGTTGTTCACACCTGGGTGTGGACTTGTAGCTGGAACAAACGCAGTTCAACAAATATTGTTTAACACGGCATTTCAAAAGACTTTTTGTTTAAGTGTCCTTATAAAGCTGGGGTTAAGCATTCACCTGATCATAGAGATTTGTGACATTAACTTTACCTGCTAAATATATTGAACAGGTGACCACAAGATCTGTTTCTTGTTCATGTAGGATAAAAAAAATATTTTGTGGACTTAGAGGCCGGTGTACAAATGCATTGAATTCTAATAAATTAATTTATTCAAACACATAATGTAGCAAGATTAGCAATCAGAAACTCAATTTGAAGAAAAGTAGCCCAGTAATAGCTTTAATGTAGCTAATGTTTAAACAAAGATATTGCGATAGCCAAAAGTTTGCCTGAAATAGATAAAGGTTAGAGGTCAGAAAAACACAAACAAAAAATGTGATTCTTTGAGATCAATGGTAGGAAACAAATCATCATCAATTGTCTGAACTATCCAAGAACATGTATTTAACGGGATAAAATGAGCCCCATAAAAAGAGGGGGTTTCCTCTGGACCTGTTTTTTAAAAACGTCACCATCTTACTGGAACCTCTCTGGTTTTTGCAGTAAACCCTAAAATTATCATCACTTTTTTTCTGTCCCGTGGCTATTGAACTGCACGCGGCAAAACAGTTCCAAACCGCAAAACTGTTAAGGGTGTGGCCCGAGTCCAACATCTGCTGAGTCACATCATGTCCCAAAACACTGGCAACATGTAAACAATCAGACTGAACCGTTGAAACAACAGGCAGATAAAACTCTGACAGAGTTGGACCAGCCTCTGTCTGACTGGCCACAGCCTGAAATTCCTCCCCTGACTTTGGCCTCCTCCATCTGTCTGCCTGTGTGTACTGCCACTGTTCAGTTCTCCTGACATGGCCTGATACATTCCACCAGAGAAAAACACAGCAGAGGGAGGGAAAATCGGCTCATCACACACGTAACAAGCGTAGATGGCGCTGCCAGAGTTTAGAGGAAGTGACTCTACAGACACAGGAGGAGGGACAATCCTGTTAAGAGGATCAGATTGCAGCAGGCAATGAGGTCAGTCAGTGGCTGATGTTATTGGAGCAGATTGTTACATCACGAGTTGTTTTTCTTTTCTTTCTGGTGTAATTCCGCCCATCCAGATAAGATTACTGACGTTCCAGGACAGATAACAGTCCTAAGCGCTTCCATTGTGAAAATATCTAACCACCTGTGGTATGCACAAGCATTTGGAGAGACAGGGGGGGGCAAAGAAAACATAAGGGGCCACCTTCTCATAACTTATCTTACAGTTACACTACCTGTACATGGAAGGATTACGGGCAAAGCTGGCAAAACTATTTGAGTTTGTCCTTGAATTTCTTATTGATGCATTAAATAAATAAAGGTTCACTACTTAGATTAATGTCCTAGTAGTGTATAGTTTTGATGGGGATTTTCTGGGGTGTGGATGGAATTGTTGATTTAATTTATTTCTGTATTTGCCATATATATTGTTGTTGTTTATACTGTGCATGTTCTATTTCTGAAGCCAGTGAGGGCCTGGAGTTGGAGAATTAGCTTAGCTTAACGCAGAACATCAGATGCAGTTTGTGTACACAACGTCTTAACGGCTGTGTCCTTGATGAATAAACGGTGACCTAGTCCTGTGGCTATTGTCATGTTTGGGATTATATTAGAACTGTTTGTCAATTACACACCAGACAAGCAGATAGTAATGGCCAGATAAGAAATAACTGAAGGCTAGTTAGTTAGTACACAAAAAGCAAGTAAGCTCACAGAAAGCTAACTAAAATTAGCCAGAAGGCACTTCATTCTGGCCAGAAAAAAAGTGTTTATGTTAAAGTCAGTCAGTTAACATCAATACTGTTTATGTTAAAGTCAGTCAGTTAACACCAATACAGTAATCTATACTGTATATATATATATATATGTATATATATATATATATCTTTATCTAATCTCAAATATACTGTCAATTTTATGACTTCCTTTTATGCGCCCTCAGACAGTGTGTTCAGGCTGTAACACAATCGTGTTTACATACTGTAGGTGTGTGGTGTGTGTTTTTCTGGATGTACACAGCTGTCTGTATGGAAATGCCTTTACATCTCCTCTTAATCAAACCTAGTGTTGAGATAAAAGCAGTTAGTGACCACGTCTGACCCAATCATGCCCATCATTCTCATTTCATCCAGGCTAAATGAGAACAACGGCTCTCTGTATGTTTTCATCTCAGTACAGTCTGGCCTGGTTCTTATATAACCTGTTTAGTCCGGTCACTAACCCCTATCAGACGCCAGGACGCCCCCTCTCGGTCCCCCATTTGTGGCCTATATGTGGGACATTTTGGATTTCATAAGACCAACAACATGAACTGTAGAACCACGCTGGGTGTTCTCTTCACCCTCGGGTGTCTGACACCACCTAGTGGTTATATTTTTGTGCACATGATTCGAGGAACCTGTGCTGCCAAGCACTGTTTTGTCACGTGAGGTTTGAGTCTCGTGCGACCTTCAACAACAAACACCTGCGGGTTTGATACATGAGAAACTTGCCCGATGGCACCGGGCATGTATATAACAATGACACACACACACACACACACACCTATGATAAGCTCTGATCTACCAGCAGGTCATGGCTGCACTTTGGCCTCAGTATCACTTCAATTTTGAGGAGAAATGCACAGTTGTGTTAACAAATACTCTATGAAGCCAAATAGCCACCGTTTTAAATATGTTAAGTGAGAGACACATGATTAAATAAAGGTAAAATAAAAAGTAAATTAATAAAAGTGGAAGCATAGTGACATAGCTAAAATATTTAAAAAACTGAAACAAAAACAGAGACTACAACCTAACCCATACATTGTGTAAAAAAACCCTTTGTGAAAACCATGCAAAAAGTTTGAACTGTCTTCTAAAAAATAACTAGAAGTTAAGCAGAAATATATAAAGTGTAAAAATTGTCAAAAATGCTAGGTGACTAAAAACACATGAATGTGCTAAAAAGTGGTTAGTGCTAGTGAGAAACAGCTAAATGTTAGCCCAAATGTGGAACAACAACATTTAATTAATCCACCTTTTAAATTATTCAATAATAGTACATTCACAGTAGCTTGAAGCCCAAACACCAGAATCATTTCCAACATGATTATCTGACAAAATACAATTTAAAATTGTGAAAAAAAAACACAGATTACCAGACAATACAAACAATGAACAACCACATCCAATAAGATTATTTTAATAGAGCAACATAGAGATTTTTAAAAACAGATTTACAGTAAGAAATCGTACTATTTTAGTTCATTTATCAGAAGGAAAGACAGTAAGTATCCTGGAATGATTGAGAATAAAATAACGAAAAATAGAAAAGAAAAAACATCAACACATCAACATACACCATGTAATACTGTGTTCTGATAAAATGTTTTTTGTTATTCTTTTTAGTTTTTAAAGAAAGAGAACAAAGCCTCACATGAAAAGGTTCCTGGTGAAAACCTAGAGTATGTGGCTAAAATAGAATACAGTACTTAAATATAAAAATAGACTCTTCTGAATGTTCTCTCAGTTCTTCTATGCTGCACATGTCTCCCAGATGGACAGATCTTTCTCCACATGTCCACTGCACTGCTGCTGCTTCAGTGGCACATCTGAGACGTCATCTCTTTCTGCAGGACACACAGAGTACAAACACACTCGACAGTGAGCTACAGAAGCGCAGTAGACAGAATCTGAAACATCAACAAATGCATCGCTATTTAAAACATTTGTCATTTGTTGTTGCTGAAGGTTCTGACTCTGCAGAAACATCCAAAGCTTAAACAACTGACCACAGTAGCAGAAGGTGTGTGGAAAAAAAAACATCTGTGCTTGTATGTCTAGGATTATGGTCACACTGACCTACTTCAGAGCTGCGTTGCACAAAAACATCATATGTCCTGTTGAGCCTCACTCACTGATCTAGCAGTTTAAACCTTAGCTCCCATTAGCTTTAGCAGGAAATAAAGGGTTGGGCTAGCTTGATACACTTTTTCTTCATCCTGTAATTGTCTGCAGAACAGCACAACAGAATGACCTGGCGTCGACTTCTGCCTGTCAGTACGTACCAGGGGAAGTTTTGTGGAAACACTCGAGTCATTTATCACACTCACCAAAGCTGTTTATCTATTCATTTGAATACATATAATTTCTTTTTGTATAACATTTTTGGACGTCTTCCCACACCAGGTCACTACCTCTTATGCGCTGCCCCCATCACATAGTGGCTATATCTATGGGAGTTATGTTGAGTTTTTTATTCTCTCTATTTGTTTTATTACGATTGGCAAAGGCACCAGACTGACAGCTGGACCGTCCAATAAAAGTGAGATAAAGTTTTTTTTTTTTACTGCAAGCAGTTTTTACCTTAAAAGGTGAATCATGCATTATTACCTATTTTTCTCTAAATGGGATCAATATTCCCAAAAATCTCATGACCTTCTTTTTACTCTATAGCTAACAGTCACCAGAAGGATTCTCTCTCATGTTAGCATACAAGAATAAAAATAAAGGAATACTCTCTTGTTTTGTGATCCTCCAATTACAAGGCCAAAGCCTTTAACCACTAGACCAGACACAGACTTAGGAACACATTTCCTAAAATTAATCCCGTGTTTGTGGGAGCACTGCTCCACTCCCAGATACTCACCAGAGGCTCCAGCTCCTTGTGGTCTGTCAGGTTGAACTCAGTGACAAAGTAATAGAAATGCTTGTAGCAGGTGTTGACATGAGCCTCTGCGCCCATCTGTCTGACGCGGTCAAAGTGGTGGATGTAGACGTGGACAAACACCCGGAACAGACGAGACAAAATCTTCTTAGCCACCTGCATGAAGGTCTTAGGGAAGGGAGTACCTGAGAGTCAAGCAGATGGAGGGAAACACCGGGGTCAATCCACGGTGACCTTTTGACATAGTGCATCATCGCAGGAAATGACAGGACATACTGGACAAATGCAATAACATACGTGTAAAAACGAAGACCGAAAGAGAAAGTTCTAATTTACAATCTCTAATCTCCTTTAAATTTCAGTAATATATTAGGATATTATTATTATTATTATTGATTCAACTCTACATTGTGATAAATGTTTCCACAGATATTGAGATGCCAAGCATACAGTGCATAAATGGGCAGCATGAGTCAGATGATGAAGGACGTCAAGGCAACACCAGATAACAAAATCTTTTCACACTCTGGACAGAGTGAAGGGAACGCAGCCTTGCACATTTCATCAGACAAACCAATCTGTAAAGAGTTGGCTTAAAAAAAAAGTGACTCCACATTTTGCACCACTCCAGGCTATTTTTTGGTAAGCTTTTAAGCCTCCATGTGACTGAAAGCACTTAGAGATTAGTCATTAGGGTCACAATGCAGTGAAAACAGAATGGTGCATTTGTGTGGTCCATTTATTCCACTGCAGTCATGGAACAAAGGGTTTGTAACACATTTACATAAAAGGAATTAAAAAAACATATGCATAGTGATAAAGAATGTCAACTTAGCAAAACAAGAAGAACAATAATTTGCAAAACCATCTCAGTGTTAGGTAGATTTTTAGTTAAGGACATGGAGGTTCATCGCAGTTCTTTAATGTGACGCTGACAGTGGTATTTTTATGCTAGCAGCATGTTTGGTGTTATCTGTCCTCAATATGAGTGTTCCTCCACTGTGACAACACGGTGACAGTGTTTTTCTGAACACACACCCTTAGGTGTCACTCTGCGCAGTCATGACTTGGAATCGGCACCTGCTGTTATGTTGTGGCCTTGATGAATTAAATATTCAAGGGATTGGTTTACAATTAACGTCACGTATGGTTTATGACGTTTGAGGCAGGATTCTGGAGACAATGCATTGAGGGAGGTGTTGGCTTGATTGGCAGACGTGTAGGCCTCCCTATCTGACTCACTGTAAAGGTCGATTTGTAATTCGAATTTTGATTTGAATTTAGTAAAAATCTAATTTAGGTGTGGATTCAGTAGTGCATGAATACTAGTTTGTGCTGTTCTTATGTAGCTCCTTAGCTGTGGATGACGTTTTCACAAAAAGCTGTCATCACAAGCTAGCAACACATTTCTCACTTATGCATCATAAAAATGTATCATCCCAATCCTGTTTCCCTAAGCTGCGAGGTGGGTTCACTTATGCATCATAAAAATGTATCATCACAATCCTGTTTCCCTGCGAGGTGGGTCCAATGTGAAATCACAGAAGTTTCTACCAAGGGAAAGTGACTCCATGCTAAATATTAACACAGCACTAGGGCCTTCGTCCTCAGTACTTACCAACATTGGTGGGGAAGATGTTCTCATTGTTGATCTGTACCTCAATCCAGTCCATAAGCAGACTCATGTACTTAGGGGCCGACAGTGCAGTCGGCCTCTTGTATTTGTGCTCGTCCTGCCAGCGGTATTCGTACCTGGGCCCACCAGACATGACGGGACAGGTTTGGTCGGTGCAGGAATCACTGATGGTGCCGTAGATGAGGTTGATGCGGTTGAAGAAGTCGACCACATGAACGGCCACCCAGTCGTTGAGATCCTCACCGTAGGGCAGCGCTACGGCCTGCTTCAGGTCCAACCCAGCGTTCAGAGACGCCTGGGCTTTCTTGTGCAGCTCGAAGCGCTGAGTCCCGGGCTCAAATTTTCTCTTGGGCCGGAATGTCCTGTCTTTGTTGAAGACTTGTTTCAAGGCCATGGACATGGTTGCCTGTGGTGGTGGATATGGATGAATGCTTCAGATGAATGATTTACTGTGTAAATGGAAGTCTGTCAAAAGTGATGTGTAAACAATCAGGGCAGTGTCTTTGTTATGGCCTGTGTCTCAGTGATCCTGCAGATGATTAAAGGAGAAAAGAGAAAGACAGGTTTGGTCAATGAATACACACTTTCAACAATGTATGTGGCAAAGATTACGATCTGGGGCTGAAAATAACTGCGGATTTCCTGTTGTATTATATGTAAAAATCCAGCAAACAATAAGCATACATTAAAAAAAAAATCATTCATTTAGCCTTACGTACGCACTTGAAAATAAATGTATGTTTTTGAGTGCTTTTCACTGCTATCTCTCAGACAGAAATTCTAGGTTTTAGCAAAAATAGCATTATATATAACCTAATGCTGTGGTCTCTTAACTTGACTGCATGGATGAATATGGTCAATGTTAAGCCCCTTATCCACTAAAGCCGAGATAAACCCCACATGCATGGGTTTTATCTATTGATGTTGCTCATAACATTGAGGTCATGAAGAGATTAGTGTTTACATATCAGCAAAAACAGGTGATATGAGTGAAAATCTGAGCTATCAGATTCTTTGGTGATGATCAACTAAAACAGAAATGAAGAGCAAAGGGAACAATATTACCATCAACTTTAATTGTTTGTACAATTATGAAAAAGAAAACATGAACTGGTCAAGTGATTCAAAAACAATCTGTTTAACCTCTACTTACTTAGTTATAAAACTCATCATTAAAAAGAAAACCTAAAAATATCCTCATTTTAGATCTGGGAACAATCCTTGATTTTTCATTCTTTAGTCCGCAAAATATAGCAAATTGCTTCGCTGTTATGCTGTGCTGTACACTTTGTGATGAACCAACATGAACCATGACTTTGAAATAACGTACAATCAGCTATACAATACTGAGTACAGAATTAAATGTGAGGTAAGCATCACACATCTATTACTTATAATAGCTGTTTTCCTTTGAGGCTCAGCAAAGCTAAGCTAACCCTGCTAACCCACCATCATCTCGCCTCGTGTTTGGGCTTTAACAACAGCCCTGCTTCCTCTGAGTGGAATTACTGTCACTAACAGGGACTTCTTTTTTCCATTTTAACTGAGAATGTCTGTGTTGGCTTAAAAAAGAGACAGGAAGAACAAGGGAAGAACAGACAGCAGGTGGTGCAGCTGCTAATAAGCACAACACCAAAAACTTCCTGTGACCCATTAAAAATAACCTAGAGCAGGGACCCCCTACTGAATGTATGGTATAAAACTGTGTTTTATATCAAACCAGGCCTAGTGCTAGATATAAACATATCTTGTTATGTAGCCATGAATACTAAGCTATTATAATATATGAAAATACATAGGCTACAACATCCATGTTTTTATTTTACACAACTGCTATGTACAATGAGTGACACTGTTATTTATAAATATACCTCTCAACTGACACCAAGGCCAATATCAACATTGTCTATCATTTGCATGATAACCAGGTGTACAAGCTATTCAAATTGTCACTTCTGTTTTAGACAGACAGTTGAATACATGATGGCCTATGAATCACAGTGCCAGGCATTATCATCCAGTACTACAGTTAATTTGTATTGACTAACTTTTAAACTTGTGGGAAAATGACAGTGAGAAAAAAATTGCATATTTGATCAAACTTTTACGACCATGCCGTACCAATGCAGACCCCTAGGGGTCGCGGGCCGCTGAAGATACTACAACTACAATTTATATTTGTGTTTTTAGAGAATTCTTGCATGTTATACGTTTGTGTTAACACTTGATTATGATTATACAAATATTGTGGTTCTTTCCACAAACAAGTATTCTACAGGTGATATCTAAAAGGAGCAAAGAAAAAAAGACAACAGTTTCATATTTTAAAAGTTTTAAATAAATATTCCGTTTCTATTTTTTAATACCAGCAAATTATCACTCAACAATAATCATGTGTCTGTCTATTAGTATGTGTATGTTGAAACCAACAAAACATTAACTGCTGTACCTCGTCATTTACACTTTATAAGGTAAGGTTTATAAGGTCTACAGGGCGAGGTGTAAATTTTAACTTGATTTTTAAGTGTTGTGTGCGAATCAAATGTCTGGAGGTCAAGTGGTGATCATTAAAAATGCAGTTTAACAATGAAGCTGCAGTAGTTAGTTGTTTGGAGGAGAGTTAAACCTGTCTGATTATCAGATCAGGTAAACTTGACAAGTCGGAGCAGATTCGACACAAGGGCAGTCCCTCACTTCCTGCTTCATACAATCAATCTTCCGTGAAACCCTAAGAATCTGCGGAACGACAGTAAAACCCCAACTATGACCGTGTGTTCTAGCTCAACAGGAACCTGGTGACTTTAATGAACCTTCACTTCAATATATTCATTCGAGTGTGTGTCAAATTGAAAACTTCAAGTCGCCTTTGTGGCATTTTTTTTTTCTACAGATGAGAGTCGGGGATTAAAACAGCGGGGCACATGACGAATGTACCAAGTTAATTCGTGACGTGACCGTGACTAGCTAACTCGCTCTTACTTGTTGCTTCCCCAAACACCCACAACACACCAAGATTAAACGATATTACCAAAAATCCACCTCATATTCACAACATATACGAAATTAACTCGCGTGAACGCTGTCACACGAAGAGGACGCGCGGTCAGACGGTGATGAAACGGCTCAGTTTAAATCGACACTTTGCCGAACTTACTTGTTCCGCTAGTTTCCCTCGATGTTTGATCGATAATGATCTGGCCGTGAATCGATAACTGTACATGGACAATACCCAAGGGCTACATTATGGACACATGGTGAGAAATGTGTCGGAGAATTATCGATAAGCCGACAAACCAACCACTTTTAATAAAGAAACTAACCGCTGACTCCTCCCTGCGCAACGAAAAGTACACCACAGTCAAGTTAGATGCACTATACACAACGTCCAGTGGGAGTTCAAAATAGGAAAAGGGTAAAAATAAAGTTGAGTTACAATCAATGTTTTCACCACAATTGCAGCAGCAACCACAAGTTAAAACTAAAAAGTGACACTTGAGCTGAGTCAGAAGAGTTTAAGGTCAGTATACATCAAAAGTCCAAGTTAAATGTCCACAGTTTAATTCAAAGAAGACAAGTTTGGGTCAAGTCTGTTATGTCTCCAAGGCCATAAGTCATGTACACAACTACTACAAATATTGGTACCATCACTTGTGGTTGTAGGAGTCAACAAAGAAACGTTCAAATTCGGAGAGTCAGGCTGCATTATAAAATCAAATCCAAGTACTACTACTCCTACTGCAAAATATACTACTTATAGATCTACTACTTACTGTAAGTTTTTTAATCAGACATTACACTATTTCTATCATTTGACAATCGTCTATATCAGTGTTCTAGCCTAGTCCTACCCCCTAACAAAATAATTGTTTTGTTTATAGCTATGAAGTCCTATCCAACGATATTAAATTAAACTATACACTAAATAAAAGACAAAGGGACCTGCAAACTACATCAAAATGACTACATTAATGAAAAAAATCTCTAACTGTTTTATTGAATCTTTTACCTATGAAGTAAGACATTTGCAAAGCTCCGTCGAGATTTTGATTCAACCCAATGTCCCTTATTTAAGTGCATCAAACTGGTTACGTTGTGAGAGTTTTAGTTTGAAATCTACTTCACTTCCGGTGTTGTGTTGCTGTTGCCTGGCAGCTAAGACGTCCGCTTCCTTTGACGAGCAACAGCTTGTCTAATCCCATTAACTTTTAACACAGTTTTTTATAAGCATTACAATACATTGTTTATATTTATGGTTAAAAAAACCCATGATCTTTGGAATGATTTTTTAGTTTTACCTGTGTAAAAAATACAAATAAAAATTCACAAATATATGTCTACATAAATGTATTTTTTAAAACACTGTAGATTTATACTGATTTTAAGAAAAAACAAAAACAAATCTCAAGTAGTCTGGTTTTAATTTTGACAATTTTAAATATTTGATAAAAAAATTGTGTTAAATGTTAAAAATGTCAATGTCATTCATACACAGTACCAAAGCTATCAGTTCTGGATAAAAACTAATTTTATTCTGATGCTTAAAACAAACTGCTTCTACAGTAGGTAGTTAGAGAACGGTCTCAGAGAACAACTTGTACAACTAACAGCTCTCCCTCCAAAAAAAGAAAAGAAATAATAATAATAATAACAGAATAAAGACGTAGTTTGTCCAGCAATGTGAAGACGTTGACACTTGCATTTAAACCACAGCCCACAGACAAAGATCCTCTTTACATGGCTATTACACAGAAGGTCAATACGCACAAATCAATATGCAAAAATGCATATTTCATGGCAGTGAGGCCTGCGTAGCTGTGTCAGAACTGCAGAGGAAACTGGCCAGCGTGCACTGATCATAAAAAGCCCTTTGTTGTGTTGCTTTAATGGCCTGTTGAATGGACGCTTTGTTTAGCAGCTGGAACAAAATGTATGCTTGTTTCTGTCTACTTGTTAGACTCCGAAGCCACTGCCGCTGCCGCTGCCTCTACCTCGAGGTTGACCTTGTTTGATAAGGAGTAATGGTACGTCCTCATGGACGCCTCCACCTTCTTGAAGTCTGGGCGGTTTTCGTGTCTGATGATAAAGGAAGAACCCAAAGAGTTCATTTGAATGGTTTGAATTTATAAAAGACACTCACATAAGACACAAACAGTGTAAACCATCACATTTCTGTTGAAGATTGTCCTAAATCCAACAATAAGAACAATGCATGTCCACAGCTCTTGACTGCTGGAGTGTCTTTAAAAGAATGATGATAATGACTATCGCAATGACCTCATCTGTACTTATAGATGTTTTTTATAGAATGTAAAATATTTTATGACTAGCTCGCACTGTGATGATAAAAATGTCAAAGGTCTTTGGTCAAGGCCCCTTCAAAGTCTGTCAGTAATTCTGTATTCAGAGAGAAATGTTTCTATAACAAATTGGAAGTCTACTACTTTGATTTGGCTATGTGTTAATTTATACAATTTTGCATGCGCCGTTTATATTTTCTCTTACAGACTCCATGACAGTAACCCTACATTTCTTTAGTATTAAATGTTTTTAGAATTATATAGCTATTTGGTCAGAACATATCCTGAAAGAACAACATTCTGAGCTGTGTCCCTTCCTGTCACCCTTATAAATTCCTAGTATCTTCAACTTTGCCAGTGTCCACAAAGACTTTTAGAGGTTTCCACAACTTCCAGATCGGTATTATCTTTCTTCAAATTAGGTTCATACTCACTCGTAGGTCCAGCACTCTTTCATTAGCGTATACATTCTCTCAGGACATGCTGCGGGACAGTCCATTCGCTTCCCGGATTTGAGGAATTCCATCACCTCTTGTCCTTTCAATTTCTAAAATGAAATGGTTGGAAAAAGACACAAGCTGTGAGGTGAAGTTAATGACCAGGACAGGTTTGTGTAGCAGTGTGCGTTGTACCCTGTAAGGCTTCCCTCCGTAGGAAAAGGCTTCCCACATGGTGACACCAAAACTCCACACATCACTTTTACTGGAGAATTTGTGGAAGCTGATACACTCTGGAGCGTACCATTTCAGCGGCCATTTACCTCCACTGCGAGCCTGTGTGATAAAAAAAAAGTTAGTTAGACTAAATAGTTAGAGCAGGAATTTAAAAAAGGAAAATATTTGAATGTTTAAAAATACATTTTGTGTAACTCTAACCATGTTGATTAAATGTCTCTAAAGGGAAAACAATAATCTTTAAAATAATTTACAGACCAGGAATAAAAGCTTTAAAGTTAATAACAGTATATTATTATATAAAAAATGAACTTCAGGAATAAAAGCTTTAAAGTTAATAACATAGTACACAGTACATTATTATATAAAAAATGAACTTTGACAATATTCACAATGTCTTGAATTACTATCTGTAGTTATCTGTTGTAATTTCTCCAAATCTGTGTAGTTTTTGCCTGCAGCTATAAGAAAACATGTCGTTGTTCAGTACCTTGTAGTAGCTGTCATTTGCTCCCAGGGCTTTAGAGAGGCCGAAATCACTGATTTTTGCATACTGTTTGTTGACCAGCAGGACGTTACGAGCGGCTAAATCTCTGTGCACAAAGTTCTTCTCCTCCAGATACCTCATTCCCACGGACACCTGATGCAACAGGTTGACAATGTTCTCTGTGCTCACATTATCCCTGTGAAAAAAAATATATTTTTCAATATATCCCACACATATTTTCTTATGTGTTTCACTGAGGGTTAACAACATCTGATAATGTGTCAGATTTACTGACTTATTATTGCTGAGGAATTTGTGGAGCGGTCCAGCAGAGGCCATCTCCATGACCAGCATCAAACTCTCAGCATTGCAGAGACCCAGCATGCGGACGATGTAGGGGTTGCTCAGCTGATACATGATCTCAGCTTCCCTCATCATCTCCTCCTTCACCAGCTTCTCGTTGTCGCTCTTGAGCACTTTGATGGCCACGTCTACCTGACCACTGCAACATAAAAGAGCTTTTAGTCTGTGGCCCAAGAAGCTACTTATGTTCATAACATCTCCATCCTTACGTGTCAGACTTGAGGACTCCCTTCTTGACACAGCCAAAATTTCCAGTTCCCAGCTCCACTTCATCTATTAGCAGCTGACTCCTCTTGATGTTGAATCTCTTCACGTCGTTGGGGTCATGGTACGGGTTGAACTCACTGCAGTCCATGGGCAAAACTTCCTGTTGCACAGGCCCGGCTGTAAGGTGAAGATAACATGTCAGGTGTAGTAACAGAATCCACAAGATATATTAAAATAATACTAATTATAACTTTAATTAGGCTGTAAAATGCAATATACCCTTAAAATAACCACTTAAGGCTATTCCTAAAAGTATAATTAATTTAAACTGAGTCTCTGCAGTCATTTTAAAGGGTCAAAAAAAGGTTAAGTTGAACGTTTACCAGTTTAAAATAGGCCCTGTAGGTGGCAGTAAAGCAACACATACGTGTTACAAATGTCCTCGTCAAAGGCCTTGACCCTTAAAAGCGTAAAAAAGTAAAATGCTACCTACTAATGCAGAAAAACCTTACCCTTTTAGTTTCCAAAAGAAACAAATTTTCTCTGGACGTGCTACAATTCATGGAAAATGTACACCCATTTACTTAATTTATATTTATCCTACATTTATTTTACTATTTTAACAGCTACACTATATATTGATGTAAATCTATTAACACAGTACTGTATACCGAGATATAATAATGCCAGAGACGTTTATCACTGGGTGTAATTCACAAAACTGACCTCTAGGTGTCGGTGTGTATCTTCCCGCACCTGATCCAGGTCCAGGTCTCTGAAAGTGAGACAGTTAAATTACAGACTGGCAAAACATAACTGACCATAAACTGTGCAGAATGTCATCAGTACTCACGTTTGGTATACTCGGGGTCTCTGCAGGGTCCAGAGGAAAAGTATGGGTTAATCAAAGAATTTGAAACAAAATATCAATACATTTAAATTTCAAATACATGAATAAGTGAAATGTAAAGTTTTCAGTACTTTCAACTGGTTTCCCATTTAGACAAGCTTCTCTGAGCACAGTCACCAGACCATCAGCTTTCATCTTCAGGTACTCCACCAACTGAGGATACAGAGATTAGATTAGATTAGATTGGATAAGATTAAATTACATTAGAAAAGTTACATTAAAATATAACTTTATTCAAGCGTAGTAATCATAGCTGAGATGTGACAAATGTGTAAAGGATCCACCTGCCAGACTGTGTCAAACTTCGTTCCCTCTGGCATTGAAAATTTCCCAGATTTTTCCTGGCTGATCTGATAGTGGTACACTGTCTTTCCATACATCATGGACAGAGCAAACGTACCAGGCTCGTCTCTTTCTCTCACTCTGTGAAGTACAAGGCGGAAAATACAGAAACTCGGATCTGATATGTAAGAAAAGGGAATTTCATATGTAAAAGATGTTGAAATCGCTCTTACAGAAACTTTCCATCTGGCTGTGCACCAGAGTAGAGACGCCTCTCACTTTCCTGGCGGCTTATTTTACCATGATACCAGGGCATCTTCTCATGGGCTGTTGTAGCGATCAGCTTCTCCAGCTGAGGAGCTTGACTGATAATGGCCTGCTCCATGGCTTCACCCTAAACAAAGCCATTTTAATCATCATATCTTTGTCGAGCTATTTGATTTGGTTTCTGAATCCGATTAAACATCAACATTTTCTACCCAACTTAACTCAGCAGTAAAACCTGCCATGACTGTCATAAACTTTTCACCGTGTAGGTACACAATTAATAATTGTCTTGCCATATTAATTATCAACTAACATAACATGATCTGAATTACTGGACTATTTTTTTTTTGGCTGAATTTTGGAGGATGTCTTTCCCCCGAGTCACAACCTGCTTTTTTTGCGTCTGAAATCAAGTTCCTTTAAAATGTTCTTTCGGTTTCAGAAATAAAACGGAACACAGCTCAACACTTCAGGAGATATAATGATACAAAGCTGTTGGAGAAGCCTGAGAGATGTGTCCAAAAAACGGTTAATTGATTAAAATTTCTGAAATTATAAAATCTGACCTTGAATATTTTTTATGGTATTACAAAAATGCACTTCATTTTTGGGTCATGACAACAAACTATTTGTCCACAGAATACCTTGGTCGATATCAGATTAATTCAGCCCAATGTTTTGCACAGCTTTTTTTGTACAGAGGATTTTTTTTTTGATTTATCGCCCTTGTTGATTTTTTGTTAACTTTGATATCAACATCTGATTGTTTTTTTTGTTGTCTTATTTATAATTGTTATCATAGCAGAATGGTTATTTGCATGAATTTTTAGTCTTAGCTTTTGGTCGATGTGGCAGGTGAACAAATAAAATTCAGTTTGTTGAAAACCTCAAACGTGTATTTTTTTTTGCTCTGGCTGTTATAATTGCAATTTCAGAAAGCATACCAACTACTTTGGAAGAGATGCTTGTCTTTTCAATTGTCAATATATAGTAAATACTTCACCACAAACTAACAATTTATATACTAACATATATATTAACAGCAATAAAATGATGCGCTTTTTTCTATTTGAAGAGTTAGTGTTAGTGGCAGAAATCCTAACCTCCAGGTTCCAGGTCTGCTTCACATACTCCCTCAACATGTTGTCTCTCAGGCTGTCAAACACACCAGTCTTAATGGGGGTGTCGGGGGTCCTCAGGCAGGGTTTGGTCAGAGTGCACACCAGTCCATCAGGGTCTTTACTGTAGAACTCACACAGCTCTGCAGGCCCACAGTGAGGCACCCCTCCTGTGAAGCAGTAAGTCCCGTTCATCTGCTTCTCTATGGGATAGTGGTGGAACTCCAGGTTCCACACCAGGGACAGGACGTAGCCTCCCAGACTGCGCAGACACTGTCGGAGCAGGAAGAGGCCGTCGGACATCCCGGCCAACTTCAGGTGCTGCTCGGCCTCAGAGCGGCTGATGCTGCCGTAGAAGAAAGGCAGCTCGACCGCGGGGTCGGTGGACATGATGACACCTCAGGGTGGGAATTAGCTCAGTGTCCAGGGTGAAGAGTACGGAGAAAAAAACTGGATGAATAAAAGAGAAAGATGAAGACAAGTTTGTAAACATTTGAATTTTAATCAAATCTCCTTTTTAAAACCCAGCCACGGCAGAAAACATCTTTAAAACCTCACCTAATTCTCCTCTAGATCAAAGTCTGCTCTGAGATCTCCAGACTCTTATGCAGTATAAAAAAATGTAAGGGATCATGTGCCTGTATGAGACGTTTAGTGAGAAACAGCCACCCTTTGAGATTGCATGACGCTTGCAGATGAACACATTGGTGATAAAAGCCACAACAGGAAGTTGCAGTCCGCCCTCGCACCCTCTTTCAGCATCTTTTTTCTTCAGTTGAACAGGTGCTTTTTGATTCTGTAACATTCCCTTCTGCTCTTCTCTCTCCGTGAGACACTGAAGCACTTTCCTTCTTTTAAGGAAAACTTCAGAGCAAACGTTAGCGTGTGGTTTGTGTCAAAACAAAACAAACAGTTCAGTTTGTAACAGTAATTTGTCAAAACAAAACAAACAGTTCAGTTTGTTCAGTTCAGTTTGTAACGTCCATCGTGGATGGATGGAGCTTGTATTTATCAGAAACAGCACTGTGGGCTAGGAGCATCGATGACGGTGTGAATTGTGGGTAAAAAACAAAATAATGTAAAGTGTAAAATAATGACAGTCTCTCGAATAAATCTTTGAAAAGATCAGCTTCTTGGCCTCACAGCCACAGTGGACAGACCTACAGAGACACACAGACACCACAAAAGACAACTACAAAGGAACTTCAGAGGTTTTCAAGAGCACTATTTATTTAATTTTTAACACAAATTACACAATTATGCTGTAGGAACATCGGCTCGTTAAACTCACCAGCCCGTTTACATTGGCATTAATATAGTTTAAAAAGAACAAACACGGCCCCCGAGGGCCAGTGCTGCTGCTACCATCATGTCACACATCGGTGTTGGTCCATGTTCAACGCGAACAGCAAATACAATTCACACATCGGTGTTGGTCCATGTTCAAATACGCGAACAGCAAATACAAGACTTTTTTTTCTCTCGTAACTGACCTTCTAAAACATTTTAATGAAGGAACAAATAAAACACTTGAAAATATTACCAGAAATACCTTTAGGGCAACGTTTTACTATTGGGACCAGATGGGTGTTTTGGGGGCCAGGGGTAGCCCCTGGGCCGGGAGTTTAGACCCCCTGATATTCATTTTCTTTTTTACATTAAATTTGAATGAAGAGAAATGAATATACAGGCTGTAATACATACATACAATATGCATATGATGTGTCAAATAAACATTGTTTTTTAGACACATTCCCACAGTAAAACATTTGATTCAAACCCTGATGAAAATGTATTTTGGTTCACTGATTAACATCACCGTCCTCTGAATCAGTGTCCTGCTCGTGACAAATGGATCAAGCAGTTTTAGTGGAAATTCCTTGGCAGAATAAATTGGTGATAAATTGAAAAGAAAGACTTTTTTATTCCCCTGTAAATTAGGATTGTTGTAATTTTTGTCCTCCCGAGTCTTGGATCAGTATTTCCACCACTAGAATGAAGATTTAGGCTCGGTGTAGTTTTCATCTCTTTTGACATGAGTGGTCTGGGGGCGTCCAACAATTGTTCATATTTTTCTTTTTTCTTTTTTTTTATCTAAAAATCCAACGAGGATGAACTTTTCAATACACTACGAGCTAATCTCTAGCATCTGTGTCAGTTCTCGTACTGCAAGGAGAAAGTGAATTTAAAACCAACCAACCCTAAAGGCACCATGACAAGAATACGAACCGCGCTGCTGTAATTTATGATGCAGCTACGCTAACCAAAACACTGACACCTGTCCAACATCGGCGGAGGCCAAGTCTCAGCACGGCTCGTGTTCTTCTCAAAATATATAGTTTTATGTCTTCTTTTCTTCTTTACTGTATATCACCAACCACAGAGACGGAGAGTGAGGGATGAAGAGATGAAGAGACGACACATGTACAAGGTGAATGACAGTGGTGCAGAGCATAGATCTGCTATAAAATGGAATTATATAAAGTGCTGTAAAAGAAGAGGATGGGAGCAATAAAAAAAAAAACGCTCCTGCCTTGCTATGTAATGGACGCAGGCCAAAGGCTACACACCCGGGTCTTCTCCCGTACAGAAAAATTCCAAAAATAGTTTATTTTCTGACTTTTTCCCCCCGTCTAAGTCCCGTTGTGTGGCAAGTGAAATATCATCACCAGGAAAAAAGGTGGACGTTTGTCCAAGAGTGACATTTGGAGCTTTGGTAAAGATACTGCACTTGGGCGTTTGCCTCTAACAACAGCCGTACTTTCTGTAGAATAACTGATTCCAAAATAATCAAAACCAAACAGCAGCATGTCCAGGAGGAGGACGGACACCAAAATTATACGATCGTTGTATTTACTTGAGCTAAGATTTCCACATTGGACACGAAGAAAGAGAAACCTGATGGAGCAGACATTCATTCGTTAGGTGTCGTCTGATATTAATAATGACATTGGCTAAGACAAACCTTGATTCAGATTTACAATACATGGCTGTCATAATCTTAGTCAGTCAAGTAGTGAAAATGTTTAATTAGGCTCAAGAAGTACATCGGCTTCATGGTGGCGCTAGGGAGAAAGAGATGACACTTGAGCAACTAAATGCTTGCAAAAAGACGTGATATTCTAAAATCACACCTGTCTCTACTGCGGGTTTAAAAAAGTTTCATAGTTGGTTCACAACGTCCTTGGCCTTCGGTGTTTCAACAGCACACTTTACGTGTGGTTTGTATTGTTCTTCCCTGTGGCTAACAAAGTAAATTCAATTCTCAGCCAACAGATTCAGTTTTTCTACATATTTTGCAATACTTAATTTATACGTTTATATACGTTTCAACTTAGGGCAAGTATTCAAGTTACATCACTACTAGAAAATAGACTGATGTAAGTCGAGGACCACTATTTATTCAGTGGTTCATTTATATTTAACCAGAGTTGGCCAGACAAGATGGTTTGACCTATGACCTGACAAGTGTCTAAGATTCTAGGCCACTCGGTGGAAGGGTGATTCGAGCTCTTGCCTTACAACAAAAAGATCACCGTTCATTTCCTACAACACAGTCATTCCATATGGAGTTTGTTCTCTCGTGTTCTCTCCTCCACCCCCCACACCGTCCTATAACATGTAGGATTGGGTTCACTGTTAATTGTAATGGTTGTGAGTATTTGTGACCCTGTGATAGACTAGAATTCACTGTTAATTGTAATGGTTGTGAGTCTGTATTTGTGACCCTGTGATAGACTAGACCGGTGGTTCTCAAACTGTGGTATGCGTAGCATCAGTGGTACTCTCTATATTCTAATGTTGGTCATCATGGTGGTACTCAGAGAGCTCGATGTTTTCTCAGGTGGTACAGAGTAGAATAAGTTTAAGAACCACTGGACTAGAGGGTTACCTCATGGGTGAAGTGGTAGAAGTCAAAGTGGTGGCCATCAAGATGTTTCTAAGTAGTCAGTCAGAGACAAAATAATAAAATATAACCTGGTGACAAATGATTCATATCCTGATGTGCAAGATAAAATTCAACACTCTTCCTGTGTTGATAAATCAACAGAATCGTTTTTTTTAAGAGCTACATTTGTGATAAATTAACCAGCGCTGCGTATATATCATGTTTATAGTGTAAAAAATAAAGAAGCCAGAAGACATTTAACAAATCTGAAAAAAGGTGTTTCAAGTTGTCTCCTGTCTGAGCAAAGTGACTCAAACATCCTTCAGTAAAAGCGTCACATTTCTCTCTCCAAACACAGATATCTGTGTTCTGTGAACCTTGCCACTGAAGGCGTAGGAGGAGTGTGCCACAGATCTGGGTCTGAAATTCAACAAACTTCACAATAATTTCCTGCATGGTTGGAAAAAGTTGACATTCAGACGAACAGTTTTCTGTAGGTTGTGACTCAGTATCGTATCTTTCCCAGTTAGAACGAGGCCGCGTAGGTTTATATGTACACTTCATATTTAATGAATATATAATGAATGAATGAATACTGAATGAAGTTTAGGGCCAATCGACATTGTTTACGTTAATCTATACCTACAAAAAGTTGCTAAGTAAAAATGTTTCAAGGACAGTGTTTAAAAACTGTTTTCATTACGTGCTGAGTTAGTGGTGTATCACACATCCTGAACAGAACTGGAACACTACTGCAGCACCAGATGTTTTCCTTCCAATAAATAACAAGCATCTGCAGTAAATTAAAAAAACAAAAACAACAAAAAAAAAAAAAACGCTTTTTTTTTTCTTCAAACAAAAATCTGCATTTCGTTTGTACACACCAACACTTACTGTCCGTGGCTACAACATTTGGTAAAATGTGCTTTTGTTTTCTCGAAAAAGACAAGTCGACGTGACTATTCTTATATTACACACATGAGCCAGAATGACTGTAACTCAGCCTGACTCCAGTGCTTTTTTAAAAATGACACTTTCCCACCGAGAAACAAAGTTAAACCCAAGGTTTTTGAAACGTGTCTTTTAATTTAGCGAAACAAACAGCTATAAATACAAGTTACAGGAAAACCACAGATAAAATTAATTTATTACACATTCATTTTTCAATGTCTCGTAGAACAACAAGAGTCAAAAAAGCAGACGCAACAAATTCAGAGTAAACAACGCCAAAGCTTTATCTTAATGACGGGTGGTTTTAGTAATAATAATAATAATAATAATAATAAGTTACTCACATTTTGCCGTGAAACAGAACAGAGCTGTTGATTCAGAGGCAGAATTTTATCTGCTGATCTCCCATACGGTAGAAACAAGTGTGTGGTGAGTGTGACGCTCTCTCTTACACACACACACAGACACACACACACGGATACACAGACACACACGTGTTTTGTAAGCCCTTTTCATAGATATATATCTGTATCCTCTTACTCTTTCTCAGTTCTAATCCTGACTCAAACCTACATCTTTAACCTCAAATTATATTCCCCTCACGAGGACAAAGTGTCTGCACTGCAACAAAAAAAATGCAAGTGTAGCTCACACACACACACACACGTGTTCCTGCAGTGGTGAGGTGTTGAGCCGCGGCCTGCTACAAGTTAAATACTTTAGTTTAATTATTACAAAAGACTCAAAAGACACAGTGTTGCTTTTATGATAAGTGTGTACTTACACTGTACAATTGAATAATTCAGTACAAACTACACTATTTCATAGAGCAATCTTAGATAATTAAAAATACCCCACATCTGAACTTTGTCTCCAATCCAGAATTATAATAATTGTATATTGTATATATAATTATACAAATGGTCTTATTTTTTATGGATAAAAATCATATTCTTGCCTATCAAATAATTCAACAGTTCAACAATTGAATTTTTTATAATTAAAAAGTGATACGTATTTCGCGTCATTCTCTCTCTCTCTCTCCCTCTCTCCCTCCCTCTCTCTCTCCCTCTATCCCCTTTTCATCAGTAACAGCTGCTGGCCTGCACATCATGCAGCCAATGAGCAGAATCCCATTGGAGCAGCGAAAAATTACCAACGTTAAAACAAAAGAAGGAAGACGTGGGCCTTCAAAATAAATTACGTTAATGCGTTAGTCACTGTTTCTTTCACGCACATTTCAGAATAGTCTAAACTTAGTAAAGGGAAACACCCAAACACAGAAATTCCTGAATGAACGCCATGTTACACTGTACTTTTAAAATATTGTTTCCCCCATTTTTTAGACTTTTTTAATACACTCTAAAAGACTTGAGTGACATCTAGTGGCAGAGGATTTTACATAACCCTTCAATCACGTGCCATGGTCAATATTATTCAGATTCCCGCTTGTATTTCTTCCTCCTCCAGTCTACATGATAATCTTTCACAAAATGATGTGTAGGGCCACACAGTGGCTGAGTGGTTGGTGCTTTTGCCTTACAGAAAGTTAACTGTATGCATGTTCTCCGTGTGTGAGTGAGTTTTCTCCCGAATTTTTATTTTTTTATATTATATAATTCATTTTTGCATATACAGTGAATGCAACTCTACACTACACACCAGAGACTCACGTTTAAAAGTCACGTGTAAAACAATTATATCCAAGACAGAGGAGAATGATATACGTATATATAAAAATATGTTTTATTTTGAAAACAATTACAGGAAGTATGGATTTTGTTATTGCCTTTCCCTTGACTACCATCTGTTGCTCTCTGCTTGTGGAAGTAAAAGAAGTGGAGTCTCCTCGGTGACCCGCCGGCGGCACCGCCTCCTCCTCCTCCTCCTCCTCTTCTTCCTCCTTCTCCTTTTCCTCCTTCTCCTCTCAGCTCCTCTGCTCCTGCTGCGGCTGTCTTCTCTCTGCTCAAACGTCTGCAGGAGGACGCAGTGAGGTAGGTCATAGACTCCGGTCAGCCAGTCTGTCTGCAACACTCTGCTTTTTCATGTCCAGCTCTGCAGGAAAACTGATGCAACTGGAGTCCAGCGGCTGCTGCTCTGTTAGTCTGTGAGATCATTCCTCCAGAAACCCCTGGTGCAGAGGGTCTCTGAAGTCTCAGGAAGGATTTTCTTTTATGCTTTCTGTTGTGGCTTTGCACCAGCGTTGGCTCAACCTGTGGTTGGTTTATGTGCAGTGTGAAACCTGGTGTCTACCAGTGGAAATGAAAGCATTCTGTTCTCCTCCAGAGCTGACTTGGCTGATGACAGGGCAGTGTGTGCGTGCCCGTGTGTGTACGTGTGTGTGTGTGTGTGTGTGTGTTGCCGTTTTTGTTGCACCTTAAGGACCTCTTCTTGTATAATCACTGACCTTGTCAGGACCAGCAGTTCTCACCACAGACCACAGTCTGTTTCTAATGAGACAGAACCCAGTTTCTTTCTCAGTATTTTTTTTTGTTAAGACTTAGATAAATGTGTGAACAGTTATATATAAGCTCATGGTCATGCATGTAATGTGTAATTTATGGCTGTAAATTGAGTGTGGAGATAAGGCTGAGCTCCTGACTCAGTGGATGTTCTCAGACCTCCTGGTAGGAGTTCACACCAGACCTCGTGGAGGCCATAGCTTGGTTTTAATGAGGCAGAAAGACATTTTAGTGCAATTTCTTTATGTGATCAAGATATGAAGAGTTTATGCTCAGGTCGTGTATGTGTGTGTGTGTGTGTGTGTAGGGANCTTGCAACAAATGAAGGCTGGAATTGTCTTTCTCACCAGTTGGGGGAGCACGTTACTGCCCCCAGTGTCAGCTGATAGAAACCCAGTCCTGACTGTAAATGACATTGTTGTTTGTTTTACAGATTTGTTTGTGGAAATGTGTAGCTCCTGAGAGACCAGCTGGAACAGTGGCTGATTCACTCCAAGTGCTGACTTCACAGAAACCTGCAGGTTGGTGTGTTACATTCCTGACGTCTGTGTCGTTTGACTGTCTGTCACCGTCCTTTATCTCTGGTTCTTTTTTGGCCAAAGGCTTGAGCCTCAGAGGAACCACATACTTAATGCCGCCTGCTGTAGTGGTAGCCTGTGTGTGTTGCAAAGACTCACATACACTAATATATGTTTATATTTTTTAAAGACAATATGGCGTTACTTATGCAGCCGGCAGCTCAGTTGGAGGTCAGGGAACATTGGGTGGTCCTCGATTTTCCACGGCAACCCCTGAACCTCTGTGTATCACTGTCCTAAATAGACCTACGGGGTTACATCAGTAGAAAATAGGTGTGGGTTCAATAAGGTCTTAATGGCCATTGGCCACACAGTTGCCCTTTACCCTCATCTGGGCAGTTTCTAAAATGACCACATCAAACACAATGACAGGCGATATCTCAAAACCGTAGGTACATTTCAATGACATATTCATGGCCACTGCACTTAATAACTGACAATGATAATGTTCCCCACTGCCATATATTATCAATCAGCGTTAACGTACAAAGGTTTTTCTAATGTTTACATCCTTTACATTAAAATATTTTTGTGTTTTTATTCGTTTTAAAAAGACAGCTCAGAATATATTATCAATCAGCGTTAACGTACATACATTTCCCTAAAGTTTACATCCTCTACATTACAGTATTTGTTGTGTTTTTATTCGTTTTAACAAGCTGCAAGCTACTTATGAGGACCAACCTGAGGCTTGTGGACACAGATTGGTCTGAAACAAGTCCTTGCAGATCTTAAAATATCATCCTGATTATTGTTGTTCACAATAATCACTGAGGTGCATCATAGGCAGTGCATCACTGGGAAAGGATGAACATGATGATGCACATGTATGTTGCTTTACATATCACTGTTCTCATTTCAAATTCAATCATTAAAATTTGAAAAATGTGTTACATTTAAAAAGTAAAAAGAAATAACTTAATGTTGGTTTTAAATGTGGCCTCATACATGTGTAACCATGGTGGGTGTAGGATGACTGTTTTCCAGGGCTTGCTTTAGGGGGCGATGTTGAGGCATCTTGGTGCATCCAAAGATAACGACTCCAGGAACTATTTTTTATTGTTCCTGAGTTTCAGGCAGAAATTCACAAGTTGTCATGCATGTTCAGGTTCTCAAAAGGCAAATGATCAGACTTCAGGCAGAAACTTTCCTAGTCATCACGTTAGCAGCAGTGAAGCCAAACTGTCATATTCCTTCTTTCGGTGAATTTTTACGACAGTTTGTTGCATGACTGTGGTCACATTTTATCCGACGTGAGTACTTGATACTTTTCTTCGTGCTGAGCGCCGTGTTTTTAGTGCTTTGGATTTTGTGAGAGCTGCAGATCAGATAAAAATGTACAAAAAAGGGGATTGTGATAAAAGTCAGAAAGAAGAAAAACCCCTTCACCTCCATCTGTGCTCTGCTCCCAGTGCTGCTGGCTGACTCACTTCATGTTGAGTCAGCTCTCTCCCTTACTAAATATTGTTTCAGACTTGAGAGGCACATTTTCAAAGGGGGAGCACGTCCGAGGTTCTCCCGCCTGTTTACGTTCCCACTTTTCATCTGTGCACAGTTTATTTGGGGGCAAGAAATGCCCGACCCGTTCCCTCTTTTTGAGCAGATTACTAAATAAATTATGGTAGATCAATATATCTATCTATCTATCTATATAACTTCTTTAAATTCCATCATCTATCACCTGTTTAGATTTTTCTCATGGACCACTTGGTCCCCCGGTCCTGAGGTCCTATGTGGACCTCTGTTATGCTGAAATAATACATTGAATCCAATGCTGGTTCGTGAGCTACTATTCCATGATCAAAGTGTAGAGAAAAAAAAGGAGTACTGTAAACTTGAAGCTCTAGGGAACATGGGACACTTTGCATCTGCCTGCTCTGCACAGACTTCACTTGGAGCCGGTCATGTGGCTTCTATTAGTGAGCTAGTTTTCGGAGAACTCCGTTCTCCCTGGCAACACTTACAGACAAGGACAGTGTAGTTAGCTCTGGTTTTTAAAAGAAAAATGAAAAACAAACAAAAAAAACCAACAACTTTCATGTGCATTCTTTTTACCACATGCACGGCACCAGTCAGTGCTCGATGTTAGATAACAACAGAAAGAATGATGCTGTCATAACCTGCCTATATATGACCAAACCACTGTACCCCAGCCCCCCACCCCCCTCTGTTTCTGTGGGCTCTGACAACACTAGCTCATCATTGGTATCAGTCATATTTTCCTTTTTAGGGTTAGAGTTAGGATAACTAAGTTACCCATCAAACTTCAGAGAGGTGGTCCCAGTCCCCTTAGAAAGTGCCAAAAAAGTTGTGCAAAAAACAAAAAAATAAAATAAAAAAACAATACAGTCAAAACAAGCATTAAGTTGAAGAATAATACAGATTTAAAAATAAATTCCTCGGAGTGTCGAAGGGTAATCATTAAATTTGGACATTTTCCTGTACTTCGGCCAACTTCTTTTAGGTTATTTTTTCTCACTCTGACATGTCGAAGGCACGTCCAAGTAGTGCTTCTGAAGAATCAAGGCACAAAGACAGCAATGAGTCAATCATAGCAAAATAGTTCCA